TGCAGCACCGATCCCAATTGCAGAAACCAATACAATCAACACACACAAAATGTGGGGGTCCACTGCAGAAAACATTGTTTTACACTGGATGCAAAACTTCCTACATGGGTTATCATTTTTGCCCATGATGAAGCAGTAGAAGAATAACGTAAAAAACCTTCCGAGAGATTGCAGTGTACGACCACACCAGTGTGCGACAAGAAAGAGAATGATGAAGGTAAGATCGTCACGTGAGCAGCTGGTGGTGTGTGCTGCATGCTTCCCAGGAGGTTGCCCAGGAGTCCTTATAAGGGGGCAGCATGGAGTGCACAAGTGTATGGGCAAATGAGGCCAAGGATTTTTATTTGCAGTTCGTTTCCACTCAGCTGGTCAAATTCAAGAGAAAGAGTACAAGACGTGAGATAGGATACTACTTTTTAAATATATATTTATGAAAATGTATATCCTCAGACTATGACTGAGATAGTGATCCCATGATGTTATTCTCTGTATAGATATGTATATGAAGAAGTAGAAAGCCACACTGTGTTGTATATATATCATTGTATAACATTATATCAGATGTATATCAGGGTTGATTGGTATTGGTATAACTGATTCAACCAACCCTATGTTGTTTTCAACTGTAACAAACGGCACATATTACGAATGGGAGCATACCGTACAGAAGGAATTGGGCGTATGTACAGCTGGGGACATAGAATCTGTTTTCAGATAGCATAAACTTTCACAGCGGTCTGTGAGCAGTTCGCTGATGGTAACACAGACACACGTGAAACAAGAAGGCTGGGTTAGAGCTCCATGCAGGAATACTAGCAGGCATGCAGGGTTAGATCAGTTAGTACTGCATAGTTTGTACAAGTAGGTCAATAGAAACTTGGTCATAGATTCACTTTTTCAGACAACTGGTCGCGCCAGGGAAACGCTCCTTTGAAACTTTACAATAAAAGGTGCTCCGATAAAATTGCAAAGAACAGAAACATTTTCATATTCATGTATGATTGAACACAGAAAATATGTGAAAACTGGATATTTTAACAATAAATTGTATATTTATATACTTATCCTATCTTACCTCCTGTACCCTCTCTCTTCACTTCGACCTGCTGAGTGGAACTACTGGCCTCACTTACCCATATGCCCGTGCGTTCCTTGCTGCCCCTTATAAGGGCAACCTCCTGGGAAGCATGCAGCACGCACCACCATCTGCTCACATGACCATCTAACCCTAATCATTCTCGTTCTTAAACAATCTGAATAGTGGGGAGGCCGGGTGGGCAACCATCGCGTGAGATAGGATAAGAATATATATATACAATTTATTGTTAAAATTTCCAAATCTTTAAACTTGTCCTATCTCACGTCTTGTACTTATCACACGGTCGGACGGTGGGTCACAGATTACTCATATCAGGACAGTGCAAACAGCTGATGCTGTGTAGCCTGAAGTCAACCGTAGATAGCATTACACAAGGGAGGCCTGTTACGAAACCAGCATCAGGCAAGTGCTTGCACTGACTGCAGCACCGATTCAAATTGCAGAAACCAATACAAGCCACACACACAGTGTGGGGGTCTGCTGTAGAAAACATTGTTTACACTGGATGCAAAACTTTCTCTTCCTATATGGGTTATCATTATTGCCCATGGTAAAGCAGTAGAAGAGTAGCATAGAACCACTTCTGAGAGATTACAGTATATGTCCACACACCAGTGTGCGACAAAAAAGGGAATGATAAAGGTAAGATGGTCACGTGAGCAGGTGGTGGTGCTTGCTGCATGCTTCCCAAGATGTTCCCCAGGTGTCCTTATACAGGGACAGCATAGAACACTCGGGCGTATGGGCAAGTGAGGCCAAGGATTTTTATTTGCAGTTCGTTTCCACTCTGCAGGTTGAATTGAGAGAGAGAGAGAGTACAAGACATGAGATAGGATAAGTTTAAAAATTGGAAGAATTTGACATTTAAGCCAACCTTTGATACAGATACCCACCTGTAGCTGTATTTACTCATGGAGAGAAATGTTTCAATAACAAAAAACCAAAACATCTGTGACAGAGCATAACCTAATGAAGTTGATTTTGTTAGTTTGCAAGATGCAGAAAAAAGAAGCTGATATTGTACAAACTATACAAAAAGTACGAATTAGTCAACAAAATGGCAAAACTTGACTATCATGCCACTGAACTACTTCTTGGAGAAAGACATACCATTATACAAGACTTGTGGCTCCGTTTGGCACCATGTAGAGCATACAGAAGCAAATATATTAGGAAGGACCATGAACAAACACTTAATATTCAGTGTAACGCAGTGGTTCAGGAATCTGTAAGTCTTGCTTCTTGTTTTTTTTCAAGATAAGATAAAGTCTTGTCAGCAATAATTTTGTATTTGAGAACTATGACAGATAAGTAAGTGAGTGAGTAGGGTTTTAGCAATATTCTAGCAATATCACGGTGGGGGACACCGAAATAGGCTTCACACATTGTACCCAGACAGATAACTATCGTTGTCACTTTTATATCTAAATCAGTAAATCCATGTTCATAATTTGCATTTCTAAATTGTAAGTGGCTCCTTAAAAACCTTAAAACAAAAGTATTGCTCAAATTACAAATTGAAAGTTTTCAAAAATTAATTTACTACTATAGTCTGTTTGGCCAAAAACGGACCGATGAATTGCAATCTAACTCGAAAAATAATAAACATAAAATACTCAATGAAACGCTGATCATAATGAAAACATCAGACCAACTCTGTGATTTATTTACAGAATTTATGTCCTAAAAATTAAAAAGTTGTTTAATAAACTATCATTAAAATTTTGACACAGTTCTCTATGCTACAAGGGAGGAGTGCAAAGAAAGGGACAGCCAGGTGTGCGAGAAAGGATGGAGACGGTACAGCACAGGTTAATGAATCAATAACTTTGTTGGCACTTGTGCATGTATTTCTCGAACACCTGGCTGTCCCTTCTCTGCACTCCTCCCTAGTAACACATAGTGAACTGTATCAAAAATTTTATGATAGTTTGTTAAACAACTTTTTTATTTTTAGGACATAAATTCTGTAAATAAATCATGAGTTGGTCTGATGTTTTGATTATGATCAGTGTTTCATTGAGTATTATATGTTTAGTAGTTTTCCAGTTAGGTTGCAATTCATCGGTCCGATTCTGAGCCAAACAGACTATAAATAAGAAGTTTTCTTATTTTTTTCTTCAGCAAGTGATTGTGCTGGGTGTTGTGTGGAAGTAAACACCAACTGAAGTGAAGATTGAACCATGAACAAGTGGTCAATAGTGCGAGCATTAATTGTGTCAAGGTCACCCTCTCTATGTCCAGGGCTTGTTTTCTAAAGCTGCAATAACCCCTTGACCCATTCAACTTGTTCTGAAATTATCTTCCCTTGATTTTCATTCCAATATGATTTGCCTTGCTTCTTAGTCAGCGGCAAATCAGAAGGGGAGAACAAACCAGTATCAGTGCTAAGTAGTCAATACCAACAGCATGAGTGCTATGTCCTGTTGATTTTGAGGAAGTTGGCAAGAAATGCAACATTGAAAACCTTAGAGACAGGTAAAGAAAATGTTTGGTTTTTTATATAAAAATGTCATTTCTACTTATCCTGACTCATATGCTAGACCAATTAGTATGAGTAAGGATAAGGTAAAATACATTTTTTTGAGGGAAGGGTGTCTTCTTGTCCATTAAAACTGACAGTGGCTTTGGTTTCAAGGCAATATGAGTTACCTCCCTTCAAAATTACCTAACCTCAATATCTGATTGGTTGGTGAAATGTTTATGAAAATCAAAGGTGGGTAATTTCAGATAAAGTGTAGATTTACCAAAATACAAGCATTGTTGATATAAAGGATGAAAGGAGTAAGAAGACACACATTGTGTGGTAGTAGGTGTTGTGGATGTTAGGGTGACTGGCATTGTGCCACCTCCACCATCAGAGTTGTCTTCCCTTGAAGTCACCCATCAAAGCACTATCCAAACTCATTGTTACCACCAAAAAGACATTTTAGTCACCTCTATGACATAACAAACTGCTGTCTGTAAATAATCGGCTTAAGAATCTTGGGCCATGAAATATGCAGGAAGATAAAATACAGATTCCTCAACCACCGTTACTATGGCAACATCTGATCACTCTTGTTAGATTTTTCACTGTTTCCACAAATTTCTATTCAACTCAAATTTAAAAAAGAAACAAATTTAGTACAAACAGTTTCAAATAAATATTATTTAAGTTTTTTGATTCCTAAAAAGGTAATTAGGACAGTATCAAAACTCCAGCAGGTATGCTTTTGTGAACATTTTGTACTTGAAAATATAGGAATGAATGAATATACAAATATAATAGATGTATTTTGTTGTTTATACAATTGTTGGTGAGACATAGTAAGTGAATACATTGCACTGATGATGATGATGATGATAATGTTGATGATGATGATGAATGTTACTGTTACTGTCGAAATATCAGATTAACTTGCCATTTTGTCAGGACATTGAGTGAAATATTGACTCTTCAATGAGAATGATTTGCTCTTGTAGGAAATAATAATCGGACACAAATATACTGTCATCAAAAAGAAACACATAATAAAATATCATTTTTAAAAAAGACACAATTCAATATCAATACAAACTGAATATTTAAGTTCAAAATTAATACATTTTACAAAATCATGAAATCATTATAATCATGCTTGATAAATAATTCCAATAAATATGCAGCTACTAAACTAAGGTTGAAATTTGGTAATTATCACAAATGATGATATCATATTAGTGATGCTTTGCTTGTTAATAAGTTACTAGAGGACAAAGAATTACAGCAGTTAATAGACTTTACAGAAATATTCCCACAAAATAGTTACTTGGGTACTGTTAAAGATATATATTTCAACCTTAATTTCATTTTATTTACTATGCATTGAGAAGCTAGCTAGAAAAGAGTCGGACAGTGACGACTGAAGAAAACACTTACTCCTTGAGAGGTGAGACCCCAATAGGGGACAACTGTCCGGTGAACTTTGTGATGGTGACCGCGGTGCCAATACCCCGGACTACAATGCCGGACTCCCCTTCCAGATCAAAACAATGGCAGTAGCTTGAGAACAGAGATAATTACCAAAGTTCAACAGTGCAAATATAAGATGAACCCAACACAGCCACTGTAAAAGGACAATCTTTGGTCTGAAAGAAATGTTGCTTGGTAACCAGAAAGCAACAATTTCACAAATGTTTCACATCTTCATTTCTGTGCTTTTACCACTTCGGTGAAATTCATGATCATGGGTGTGGCGCTTACAAATCTTGGAGCCTTATCAGGGTAAAGAGTAAGCCATACTTCAGTTAGGGACCGTTCATAATTTATGGATAGGGGGATGATCATTTTTATGAAGAAGAATATACAATGTGAATGACACCAACCCAAAAAATAACAATAAAATAAAATGAAATATGTACAAAGTGACACCACCCCTGCATGTCACGCACAAAATCAATGACAATCCCCTAGTCAATGACAACCCCCTAGCTGATGTTAACAAAACTGATGAAACACCTTACAGATTGCGAATCCTCATACCCTTACCTTGCCAATTGAACATTACAAGGGGGTATGCACATTAAATGAAAGTCCGAGAACACGTAAGGTTGGTGTAAGTTATCGCTCATCGCGTACAGCACGTGCATTTGTTTCACTGTTCCAACTACTGCGCGTACCCCCTTGTAATACAAATCAATAAAAACAATTTGAATCTATGATCGTTTGTTAAACAACTTTTATCATAAGTTGAATAAAATTATGAGAGTTAAATGTTCAATTGGCAGGGTAAAATTATAAGGATTCGCAATCTAAATTTCACTTTATTTGATTTACTTTATTGTTTAAAGTGAACTTCATCGGTACATTTTCACTGCAAACAGACTATACCATGTAGTGGTAATGCGTGAAAAGGTTATTACACAATACATCAATTTATTTCACACCCATGAAGAGTTTGCAACCATTAGCTTATAAGGATGTAAATTTAAGGACTTTTTAGGGCTGGACTGCCAGATTCAAGAAATCTCAGTTTCTCAGAAGTCCTGTGTCTCACCCCAGGACAGCATTGCCTCCCATCTCCATGACCTTGACCCCAATCTTCCGCTGTAGCTCACCTGAAACAACAACACACATGCAGGTCTATGTGACAGTAACAGTTCTTCAAGATTGACTTGGAGTAATGAGGTCTATTGCTGCTCAGTTTTCAGTCCAGAATATCAATATCAGTGTCGGAGTTCGCCCTTTGCACTGTTGTCTTATTTAAAAATATTAATATGGCTACTTAGCTGCTGGCCTGACAATTCAGTTATGCAAGGACTAGAAATTCTCTATCAAATGTAGTTATGTTAAATCATTACTTAGGAAGAGGCAGATCTTATTGCCTACACACCTATATAATTTAAGTAGGCAAAACAGAAAAACAACAAAGCCCTTATTCTCGAAACGTTCGTAGCCCTAAGAATTCGAAACTTTGATCATAGCCAATGTGTTAAAAATGGGCTTAAGAAGTTTGTAGGGCTACGAACGTTTCGAGAATAGCTAGCCAGGTCCTTTTAAGCAAAGCACAATTCGTACACTTTTTGTGCACATTTTCCAAAAGTGAACATTAACTGCCGCCTCCTGATACCCGTGAAGATCTGGGTCTGTGTGGAATAAGCGCTCATTGAAGGGTAGAGAATATTTAAACAAATGAAATATCAACAATATTTATAATGTTCAATTTTTTTGTCTCAGTATGCTGTTGAACACATTAAATTTGCATACAACAAAATACAATAAAGGATTTTCACACTATCTTCTTTCACCTAAGATTGTGCTGTTTTGCCAGATCCATAATCCAATCTCTAAAAGAATATTTCCTTACCATAATGAAATCGATAAAGAAATGAGTGAGTGAGTGAGTTTAGTTTTACGCTGCACTCAGCAATATTCCAGCTATATGGTGGCGGTCTGTAAATAATCGAGTCTGGACCAGACAATCCAGTGATCAACAGCATGAGCATCGATCTGCTCAATTGGGAACCGATGACATGTTTCAACCAAGTCAGCGAGCCTGACCACCTGATCCCGTTAGTTGCCTCTTACGACAAGCATGGGTTACTGAAGATCAATATTCTAACCCGGACCTTCACGGGTGATACAAGAAATGAAACAAAGCCTATGGTAACTACTGTATTGTTGAGTGGGCTCAGACCCAACCTACCAGAGAGCTTGGAGAAGAGTCTCTGTCTTGCTTCATTTGATGCCCGCGGAGTCCGAAGTTTGTCAATCCACTGATATTCAGGATCATTGTTGACAACCAGCTCCTCCACAAACCCATGGATGACAAGTAATCTTTGACCAGCAGGGACTTCACTTGCTGAGAAGGGATAGATGTAACAAGTTTGAATAATGGAATACAAGTGGATGAAAGGTAAACATATAGTGTCTAAACATGTTATTGTTGTCTTCAATGTGGTGATGTGCAAGCGTGCATCAATGCCTGCTTGTAGTAGTCCAGAATGCAGTCATTTTATAGTGCTATACCTCTGAAATACCATGCTGCAGTTTACCATGTACACCTCCCTCAGAAACATTATACTGACTTAAACTTACAGCAGTCTGTGTTTTATCCCCTTCATGAGTGAGTGAGTATGGTTTTTTCGCCACTTTTAGCAATATTCCAGCAATATCATGGCGGAGCCACTGGGAATGAGCTTCACACATTGTACCCATGTGGGGAATCGAACCCGGCTCTCCGGCATGACGAGCGAACGCTTTAACCTCTAGGCTATCCCACCGCCCCTATCCCCTTCATGATGAATGTCAGACAGGGAAACAAACACCGTCATTAATTGCCATTTGGTATGAATCCTCCACAGAGAAGGAGAATATATATTAAGAAGCATACACAACAGGTAATACTTTAATACTTGCACAATTTTAAAAAGTTATACAGTATGAATCTTTTCAAATAATATTTTATTACACTCTCCTCAAAAAATTTTGCCTTATAAACACCTAGCAACCTTGAAACCATGCTATGGACTTGTATTTACAAGCATATCATAAAACATTTTATCATCCCTTCAAAGCAATATAATAATAATATAATAATACTGTGGATTTGTAGAGAGCTAGACTCCATGCACTAGTGCATGCTCAAAGCGCTACAAATTTATTATAATCTGATTATTACTACTGTGGATAACCCAGGCTGCCTGTGAGGTGCTAGAATGTTATAGTCGACTTATCCCACCGGGTACCCATATGTCTGCTGGGTGAACAGAGGCAATTTTGAACAAACTCACTTGCCTAAGGTGAGGCCACATGTATCACATGTTTCGCTGTGGGGCAGGACTGATATAATAAAAATTCTCAAGAGTCTTGTAGTAAAAAAAAATGTCAGCCATTCAAGGATTCTCCGTGCTCAACATTGCTTAACGTCAACTGATTTGTGACCTGAGCTCCATGTACAGGACCAAGTGCCACCAAAGATGAAGAAATAGGCTCAACACACAGTACTAATGTAAGGAATCAAACCCCAGTCTTCTGCATGACAAGCAAACACTTTCACCATTGACCAGCCAAAATCTAAATATGGCCTATTGTTTGATCAAAATGAACTTAAAAATGAATCATTGATGTCATGACAGATTCAGTGTGGAATCTGAAACCAATCAACAAAGAATGTTATTGTACAGACAAATGTTTTCCAGAACCATGTTTACTTACATTTGACTCAAAATATTATTTCTTACAAATAGAAGCATCTAAGTTGGGTGGTGGGGTAACCTAGTGGTTACAGTGTTTGCTCGTCACGCCGAGTAACGGCAAGTCAAATTATAAAAACCATCTAGTGGGATATTTTCTTGTTTAAGACTCATCACGTTGAACACCTGTCTACTCACTACAGAAGAACTGGATGCCGCAGGAAGACTGTCTAAACTTGTTGAAGTCACTGAACAGCTCCACCTTCACCAACACATTCAGTTCACCACGGATTCCTGGAGTAAAACCCTTATCATAAAACTGACTTTGTGAAAACAGAAATATGAAAATGAGCATCAAAATACTTCTGATAACATATGTTCTAAATTTAACATTAGGCTACAACCTGGTCAGTAAAAACACAATATTTTGAAAAAGGATTTTATAACATATTATGACTATAAACAGTAAATAATACTTTTTAACATGTACTCATGCAAACGAATAAGGGAACACATGAACGTACAAGTGTTCCTTTATTTATTTCCAGAATTTCACCCACAGTGCAATACATACCTTGCGAAGAAACCTGGAAAAGAATAAAGGAACACTTGTACTTTCCTGTGTACCCTTATTCTTTTCCATGAGTATATGTACTATAAAAAATATTAGTAAAAATATTCAATATACTTCCAGCTTCAAAAACAAAGAGAGTATTTCTGAAATTAATTACATATTATCTGCCATCAACTAGAAGCGTTTATCTACAACAGAATGGGAACTGACCATGCATGGTGTCATAGACAGGGAACCAGCCATTGATGACATGGGGACTCTCTCTGGTGAGCAGGGGGTTCAGGTCGATGTACACCTTCCCTATAGCATCGTGGGCGCTGTAGGTGTCGTAGTCAAGCACTCTGAGGGTAAAAACAGCAAATACAGCTAGGCAAGTGTTTGCAGCGACCTAGTCTTTTCAAAAGATTGTCCTCACTTGTCACACATGACCTTCACTGTGACCTTCACCTCAAATATAGGTCACTCATAACCACTTAACAAGATGGTACCTGACCCAAGCAGTTACACTCTGTTGATGAGCACAAAGTTCAATGTCATTAAGCTAGGAGGTTAAAATGAAATGATGACATAAGTTAAAGAACATTACCCCACTACTCAAATTCACCTTTGCTGTAAACAACATGTAAAATGGAAATTAATTGCCTCTTTGTCTGAAAACTATGTTTGTAAGTTTGTTGATTAATGCTGCACTCAGCAATATTCCAGCTATATGGTGTCGGTCTGTAAATAATCGAGTCTGGACCAGACAATCCTGTGATCAATAGCATGAGCATCGATCTACACAATTGGGAATAAGATGACATGTGTCAACCAAGTCAGCGAGCCTGACCATCCGATCCTATTAGTCACCTCTTATGACAAGCATGGGTTGCTGAAGACCAATTCTAACCTGGATCTTCACAGGTTTGTTTGATAACTACAGCATATATTTGACAATTTGACCTTTAGCTTTGGTTCTTCACATTCTGTAGACTGATTTACACTGTGCTGTTAGAACATTCTCCACATGTCACAGAGTGACAGTGATGACACAATCATTCATACCATCAGACATTTACTATTGTTTTGTAGGAGTGACTATTGAGGGGGAAACAACTATTGCGACAGCGATAGTCTATTGCAACATACTATTGCGATAGCGATAGTCTATTGTGACCAACTATTGCAATACTATTACTGAGTCATTTCCCAAATGAATGTGTAGTTTATATGAAATAAAAACAAGTTGAAATAGTTTCAGTATCTTTTAATAACTCATTAACTGACAAGAAACTTGAAACCCATATCAAGTTAAGAGTCATGTTTGTTAAGAGGTATCAGGGGCGGATAACGAAAGTGAACGAATCTGGTACTTCCTGTATTTTGCACTGCGCATTTATCAACAGAAGTCAATTACTAAACTATCGATAGTCACACATAAAATCGATGCATCAATAGTATTTTTGTTTCTACCATCGACTACTGGCGACTCAACAATTGCAATCCATTGATAGTTCAATGCATCGTAATAGCCTTAATGTTTTGGGTCCTCCATCACCTACCTCAGTTCCAGGGGCTCATCCTGCAGCACTTCATCGTCAACCTGAAATAATGGTGACAGTATCAGAGTTTCAAGAAATGTCGGGACAATGGTCACTTTACCAGACAGGTCTTGTCACGAATGTCACAGGAAAACTGACGGTACAAGCAAACAGAGGACACATCAGGCTTTTACGTGGCGCGAATGTGTATGCACAAATGAAGAGAATAGACGCGAAAAAAAATCACTGCATCCAAAGGGATGCACAATATTATTCAATGTACCCACAACACATCTATGACTTTGCAAAGTGTTTGTGGCTGTTTCTTTCAGAGCAGTTACATGCATCATTTCATCCCTCAGTCCACATGATCAATAATTCATTCCAGGCTCAAAAGAAATTATCAAATCATACAGTTATCTAAACTGTTACTTCACAGGATCCTCGTATTGCAAGCAAGGACTCTTAAAATTAATAATTAGGGGTCCCTGGTACCCCGATGTTTGTGAGCTGAAGTAAAACCCTGACACAATGAGGACACAAATCAGTCAGACGAGTATGTTTCTTTCTTCACATAGTGCAGAGCTACTGAGGTCCATCTTTTAGCTGTAACCTTCTCCATCTGCACTTAGTTCCGGCACAGCAACTCGGTCTTTGGCGATTTGATAAAAACCAACAAATGCATCCCTACGGGAAGCATGTGTATATGCCTCCTACACACATCAGAGATATGGACAAAAGCTTTCGATACTTGTGAGACCTTTAAAATACGATATATTCATTGACGTGTGCGTAATTGTCCGGTTTTCGATCATGTCACCGTATTTCTGTGATGAACCTTTACATATTATATAGTATGGGTGTGTGGATACTAAACCGGGGCCTAGTTTATCGGTTTTCTGACCCGCAGTGGGGGCCTATGGAATGGTGATAGTTAAGATAATCATACCTCAAACTTAAACCAATCAGAGTCCCACTGTGGGTTCAGTGACTTCCGATAGACTTCAGTCTTCATCACCTCGTTGCTGAATCGAACCTGGAAGGGAAGTACACATAAAAATACTTTTCATGATTTCACAGCATGTATCAGTTTTAAACTTAAGGACCAGTAAACAGAAATGTTTATATCTAAATGTCTATATTATTTATCAATAATATTTATCATTTTTAGACATTAGGAACTGGTAATTGGTTGCTAGATGGGGAAAGTAGAATTCATCCAGGGTTAAAATATCTTTTTGACAAGGTTTTTGGTTTATTGTAAAATGAGCTTACTTCAACAAATGCATCTGTGAGATCTGAGGCTCGATCCATCACGGGCAAATTCCGTGCCCCCAGGATACGGACTTTTAGCTTGCCTGGCATCTGCATAACACAGAGTTAAATAATCATGATAATGAAATGTGATAACTATGCCTACAGTGATAACTAAGCTACAGTACCTGGCCATAAGTATTCATGATTTTGACGCTCACGATGTCATGCTCATGGGCGCCAGAAAGTTCGCTCAGGTTTGTTGATGCGATAAAGCGATTGGCTGCAAGAGCCTCTTGATTTTTAACCAGATATTTTCAATTATATTGAGATCAGGAGACTGTGGGGGTCATTCTGTGTCAATAATACCATTTTCTTCTTTGTAGTTTTTCACAATTCTGGCCTGATGTACGGGAGCATTATCGTCCATGAATACATATGGCTCGTTTGTATAATGACGGGCTATAACTGGCCAAAGATTGTTTTCAAGGATGTCTATATACTTTGCAGCATTGGTGTTACCATTTACTGGGGTAAGAGTTCCAATCCCCTTGAAGGGGACACACCCCGTATCATCAAAGACACTTTGTTGCGAGGGCCGACACACTAAATGCGGCCGGTTTACTTCATCACCCTTCTCCACACATACACATGCTTGTCACCTCCAATAACAACCTGACTTTCGTCAGAAAAAATGTATTTACTCCAGTTATTATCAACTGTGAAATTCCTGCGTTCCCAACACCACAATCTGCTTTTTTTCAAGTTAACTTCCCAAATTGACACTGATTTTTTGGCAATTCGTTGTTTATATCCTTCGAAATTTAATTTTCTTCTGACAGTCCTCTCACTGAATGTTCGAGTCTTATTTTCGTTAATTAGTTTGTAATATTTCCCAATGTTGCCCGACGATTGTTTTTGACACACCTGATCAACGACGTTTGATCACGATCAGTGAATAGTCTTTTTCGTCCGCTTTGCAGCTTCTTTTCCACTGAACGAGTCGCTTGATATTTTGTTACCACACTTTTTATAGCTGACCAAGATCTATCCAACAGCTGATTAATTTCTGTAATTTTTTTGTTTTCTTTGTATAATTTTAAAATCAATTCTTTCGTGTCAGTTGTCAATTCATGTGATTTACGACCCCTTTGGCCCAGACGACTGCCAGAGCGGAAGTAAACAAGCAGACGATAATTTGTATGCATGTCATGTGACAGGCACATGACAGGGAATCTATTTTTCAGAAAATCAGCATTTCTGAACACTGAATGTGTCTCGCGGTGTGAAAAACAACGTCATTTCCAAAATCACGAATACTTATGGCCAGGTACTGTAGATGAAGGAATATAAAAGTTGACAATCATAACATTCAGAAAAATCGGAAAGGTGGAGAAAATGATGTAACCTCATATACGTGCATCAATTAAACAGATAGTTAAGACAATATCCAATATTGCACAGTTTTACTCTGTATGGTAACTGTTTCTAGGTTTTCTGAAAATAATTTCCATTCTCTGACTGTTACAAAAATCAATACATGCATCCTGTCAAGCCAGTTATATGTCTTGATAATGTTTATCTTGATGAAAAGTGAGATAATTTAAGCATGAAAGCATACATTTTCTAAATATTATTGGAAAACGCAATTTTATTTAAGTAGTGGAGTATAAAAGTTTGATCATGCATATAGCTGGAACAGATAAGCAGGTGAGCTGCAACAGTGATGGCACTGCTCCCTAAAGAGTCCCACTGTCTGTGAGAAGCACTGTAGTGTAATATACAGTGGAACTCAGAACATTCCTTCATTATCAAGAATAACAGCAGACATGCATGTACATCCATACTCGTTGGGACAAATCGTAAAAAATTATACATTATACAGTGCATCTAAAACGGTAGAGGCGAAACATAACTTTTCCACACTCATATGACCGGAAAGATTTCCGCCCGTAAACCCCGGGTTTTAAAAATCATTCTATGCCTAAGAATAGGTGTTTAAAAAACAACCTAACCCTAACACTAAACCCTCGATATAATCCTAATAAATAGAAAGCATTTCAGGTGGGGGTTCCGGGCGGAACTCTTACTAAATGACCTTCCGTTATGTCATGTTTGTAGTCTTAATTTCGACACGTTTGACGTTTATTATCATAAATAATATATTGCCCTTGCCCAAATTACAGGTAACGCCTACATTGTGATTGTAATGCACGTTTGTCAAAAGCAACACAACCTAAATGGATCTGCCAATGCAATGTATGACCTTAGTTCATATCATCGGAAGACATCAAGCATTCTATTTACCTTGTGTTTCAATGGTAACAAAGAAAATGTGGAATGACTCGATCTGTCACATACAGACTTCTGCCATGTTGGTTCGTAGTAAGGGGAGATAACTGTTTTCCCATGTCATTTCGGAGAATATTATCTCCCTTCATTAATTTCGCGCACCTGTCTGCCACCCGATTTCAGCATGTTCAGCATTGTATATTATTTCTCCTCATGAAACAAAATCAACAGATAACTCATTTTAGTTTCGAAAAGGATTATCAAACCCTAGCAGTGTCATTTTGATATTCTATCCAGTATATACAAGATTGTATGGATAATCAACTTAAATATATATTTTTAGCGAAGTATGGGGGTAAATAATACCACCGTTATCAAGCGGGTGGTATATCGTCGCTACGATTGCAATAAAGAAGTTTGTCATCTGCTATATTAACTATTTTTCAAATTCTACTCAAAGATCAAATTGAGAATGACTGACTAGTTTAAACGCCCTTTGTTTCATTCAACCAGTGAGTCAGACTGTGTCAGTCCTACTGCCTACTGCTGTGGTTAAAGCGTTCGCTCGTCACGCCGAAGGCCCGGGTTCGATTCCCCAACAAGGGTGAAGTTTGTTTAGCCCATTTCTGGTGTCCCTCGCCGTGATATTACTGGAATATTGCTAGAAGCGGCGTAAAACCCAACTCACTGACTCTGTCTACAAAATGACTTGGACTGGCCAGATGATTCCTGGACATGCCGCTTCAAAATCCAGCAAAACATAAACTTGAATTCTAAGAATTAGTGTGTTGAATTTAATGCAACGTTTCTCGGTATTTCCCTTCTGTGGGAAATAGATCTTTTCAAACTTTGATAACAGCTAACGAGATAGAAGGTTGTGTGTCGCAACCGGCACTCTTTCATCTATATTGCGGATATTTATGGTCACACAATCCATTGACTAACACCATAAGCAACAAGTGACTGAGCTGATTGAGTCCGCTTTAAACAGTATTCCGGTTATATCAGATGGACGTGGAGGAATCCCAAGTGTAACAGCTATTAGACTTTTACCACTTTCATGAAACGGGCATGGGACTGACAAACCAAGACACATAATCAGGGCAAATCGAGGATTCAAACCCATAGTTATCAGATCCAAGCACGTACAAGGGACGCAACTCTGCACAGTGAAATGTGGCACCTTGGACGACTCGTGAACCTTAATTAAGATGACTCGAAGGTATGCAGTTGCGTAGGGAGAGCTGAGAACAGTGAGGTGACCCAAAAGCAATGTTTCATTGCGGCAGCCTTTATCTATGCATGTTCGTTAAAATCAGCATAATCCAGAGATCGCAGACGGAAAGGAATATTGACACGCCAGTTCGTGCGCATTATGTTAACAGTGTGTTTTCTTTCTCGTATGATATGCAACTGCTGTTTGAAAGATTATATTCATGTGAAGGAGCCACCGGTCCATAAATTACATACATAGCGTTATCACCCGTCCTTTCCTGAGGAGCATGGGCTTCATTATCTATCCCTGGCGAGCCTGACCGCCGATCACGTTAGTCGCCTCTTACGACAAGCTAGGGTTACTGAAGATCAAATCTAACCCGGATCTTCACGGGTCGCCTATTTTGAACTATATTACCTTTCTTCACTGACAGCCATATTGTTTCGTTTACTCTGTTAGTTCAAATCGTTCTTTGTTTTTTGCTTGTAAGTTGTTTTATGCCCTAATAAGCAATATTCCGATTGTATGAGGATGACCTAGAATTATTCAAGTCTGTATCAGACAAGCCATTTATTATTGAGGTGATGAACAACACAACACGCTGTCGGGTCTCGACGAGACGCTATCGGCCAAGTCATCGAGCCTATTTAGTCGCCTCGGACGACAGACATAGGTTGCTGGAAATCCAATTTAACCGGAAACCCCGGCTCCCATGTAATGGTATTTGAGCCGTGCATGGGGGCGGTGGGGTAGCCTAGAGGTTAAAGCGTTCGCTCGTCACGCCGAAGACCCGGGTTCGATTCCCCACATGGGTACAATTAGTGAAGCCCATATCTGGCGTCCCCCGCCGTGATATTGCTGGAATATTGCTAAAATCAGCGTAAAACTAAACACACTCACTAACTATTAGAGCCGTGCGTCAACGCGGAAGCACATATGGTTTTTCAGTTACCTTAAAGTTCAGAATGCTAACATTAGAATTCAAGACGATATCTTGAACATTAAATATAAACTAAGGTGAAATTTCAAGATAAACTTCAATGAGCAAATGTACTTCGCCATGTGTCATAGTCTGCTTCATGTTGAGCTGACACAGTGGATGAGTTAAAATTTATCGTCACATCGGCAATATGAGCCGACACAGACATAAATAGAATTTGAATTACCCAGATAAAAAGCCAAAATATTTTGTGGCACCAATTGAGTACCGCGAGTAAGAGCTTGATATTAGTAATAACCCTTCCTGTAGTGGACCGCCTCCTTGGTGTAGTGGTCAGAGCGTCCGCCCGGAGAGCGGAAGGTCGCGGGTTCGATCCCCAGCCATACCAAGAGATGTTAAAATATGGTAATTGTTGTGGCGGTCGGCATTAATTGGTACAACAAGGACTGGTCGGCTCGGAGTCAGTATAATGTGTCTGAGTGGGGTATTCATGCCTAACTGTGGGATTGTATCTCAGTGAGCTAGCACTAAAAAATCCCAAAAAGTCTGGGCTAGTACAAGCAGCCACACATACACAACCATGCACGCCGTCATGTGACCGAAATATTCTTAAGTACCATGTTAAACCCCATTTCACCTCACCTCACCTTTCTGTCGTGTAGAAAAATCAGTTCCCGTGACGTTAGCATTACTGTGGGGCTTCATTACTTAGTTTTACTCTTGGCTTTCTTTACCCACATTTTACGCGAACACGGCGCACGAGTTTCGATCAGAAAGGATGAGAAAGCATGACAATCCAATTTAATTATAATTCATACACAAATAATAGAAGCGACAAAACCCTTTCCACATTCATAAGAAATCTCTGCCAAAAGCAGAGTCGATTGTACACTTGTGACTACTGTACAGCTGTATGATGTTGTTTGTAAACAAATCGGGTCTGAACCAGACAACCCAGTGATTGTCACCATGCAATACGATGACAGAGCATGTGTTTATGAATCATTATGAAATATAGATGATGCCAGGTGTTCGTAAAAAGGTAAATAAATAAAGCTCTCCTCGAATACCTCATTCTGCTTATCTTTCGAGTTTTCCAAAACATTCTCACCATACCCTTTGAACAAATTTAAACACACAGTTTATACTATACTGTCTATAGTGTAAAGTACTTCACCGTGTGCATTCTGAAGTACCCACTAATCAGACAGTAGAATAGAAAAATATTGTTTTTACTTTCACTGATAACGAATAATTCATGTTAAACAGGAGCTACTCGTGAAGATAGTGGTTAGAATTTATGTTCAGTAAAGCTGCGTAGATCGATGCACATCATGTCTATCACTGTATTGTCTGGTCCAGACTTGGCTATTTACAAACCGCCGCCATAAAGCTGAAAAAGTGCTGACGGTGGCGTTAAACAAACAAACAAACAGCATTAAATTTTGGGACAGGTGCGACGCATTTCGCTGTACAGAGTTGCGTCCCTTGGATACGCCAGTAACGAAGGTAACGAATGATCGTGAGTTCGAATCCCGATTCGCCTTGACTATATTTTAGCACCATACCCGTTCTCGTGAGGTAAGAATCCTCATTCCAACGTCACTTTTGATTTTTCTAACACATTATTCTGTCACCCTGTAACATAATTCGAAAACTCTTTGAAGCGGTCCACCTCACTCACTCAAAACCAAATCCAAATAAATGCTGAAATATTCAACTAATGATCAAACCAACTGAGACATTTATTACAATGGCAATTTAAACATTTAATTATAAACTAACTCTCGCGCGTTCGGAGATCAAACAAAACGCTGCTTTCCAGTGTGCAGTTGATTTTTGTTTTTGCCAAATATTTGGACAGGTAACTGATACTTGACATTTTTAGTGTCATAAATAACCTTGCTTGTATATCCACCCGGCTGATGTTACCGGCGTGTCAAATCCTCACACCGACACCCTCCGCTGATTCACTGTCATTACGATTGTTTTCCTTGACCTTTCCACTCCCCACTTCCGCATTTCGTCCCATTCTAACTTACACACCTGAGAGTTCGAACTATCAAGCGAAGCGGGAAGGTAAGTCGAGCTGTTGATGCTATTTCATCGTAGCATAAAAACGGTCCGTTTGAAAGAAATGTCTCCACGATTATGATCTAAGTGGTTAAACTTTAACTATCGGAGGCAACTGGCGATATGCATGCGAGTTATGGAGAAATGACATGCATACCTGTACTAACGAAAATGGGTGACAAGTTACCTGTCCCGGTAAAAATGGCGGCTGGGTTTCTTGAGACGCTGGCGAAGCCAGTCAATGGGAACGATAAAAACATTGTCAGTTACAGATGATTTAACATGGCTGTTAGTTTAACCACCCTAATTGTATGTCATGTGCATTTTGTGAATATGGTAGCGCAATGGCACCAGTACAACCTTTAGTTTAACTATTTATAGCAATGATTAATAGGTAAATTTTGGGGACCTTCCCCAAGATCCGATCAGTGTTTTGTCATGCGTTTGCAATGTCAGTAATGTCACTGACAGTTGACATAGGTGTTATTTTTGTATTGTTTGTGATACTGGTGATATGTATTATATGTCATATTAAAATTATTTAATTTAATATTTTAATGGCTTCATAATATTATAACCATAATAAAAATCTTGGCACTAGAGCTGGCTATCGATTTAAATCAGAGATCGATAATCGTTAACTAAATAATGATTATCGATAAATATCGGAGATGTAAATGAGCTAAAATGTCGAAAAGAAATGAATATATTTCACATCACTGGTGAGTTGTGACATGTTTTTGCATGGATTATTAACAAAATAGAACATAATTTAGAAGCAGACCGTGAATAGAACCTAAATTTGTATATTGTGTGAGTAAATTATATCTTTTTTTCTATCACAAAAGCTAATGAAAGATGCTATCGAAAACACAATGTTAATTACGATAATCATTAATAATCTTTCTTATTGGTGATATATCCGATTATTGATAATTTTAGCAAGCCTTAATGGCCTCTGTGTTTGCCACACAGTGGAGTTTCTTTTATTATCTGTACCAGAAATATAAGACTCCCATCAAATGGACCACCCTTTCGTCATTTTTAGCATTTGCCCTCTCTTGTGATATAATGAAAAGTGTCAAACGTGTGTGTGTGTCATACCAGGATATCCTTGAGGCTTAGACCAGGCTGTAAGAATGACTTTCTAATGTTGTGTCCTGTCAGTTTTAAGGGTCAATGGGGTCAAATATTTAGAGTCTGTCATGTTGTGCATTTTGTTTAAAGGCCGGGGTTCATTAACCTATACACAGATGGGGTGTGGCCTCCTTGCCTTGTCAAAGCTTTCTTTCGATGCAAAGCAAAGCAGTATTTCAGTACATTCCATGAAATATCACAAACTTGACTTACGGGTTCATGAGTGAGTGAGTTTAGTTTTACGCTGCATTTAGCAATATTCCAGCAATATCACGCCAGAACGGGAATGCCAGAAATGGGCTTCACACATTGTCCTAATGTGGGGAATCAAACCAGGGTTTTCAGCTTGACGAGCGGACGCTTTAACCACTAGGCTACCCCACTGCTCCTCATGGTGATATTAAGCCATAGTATAAAGAAGTATGCTATGAAGACTCACTGCAAAAAGTATTGATGCAGACAGTCTAGAAAACATCCATTTTGAAAATATATTTCTTTTTTTGAAATCCTGATTTGTAGGGGTGACTATTGAGGGGAAACAACTATTGCGACCAACTATTGCGATAGCGATAGTCTATTGCGACAAGCTTTTGCAATACTATTGCAGTAGTTTATTTCTCCTTGAATTGTCTCATTTGAAGTCATTTCCCAAATGAATGGATATGTATATATGAAATAAAAACAAGTTGAAGTAGTTTCAATCTCTTTTAATAACTGACAAGAAACATGAACCCAGATCAAGTAAACAGTTAAAACATAAACTCATTGAAGCTGCAAGTCTGCATCCAAATATCCTGTATTTTGTGCTGCGCATTTATCAATGGAAGGCAATTACTAAACCATTGATGGTCACACATGTACACTAACGATGCAGCGATAGTTTTTCGTTTCTACCATCGATTAATTGCTATCAGAGACTCAACAATCGAATCCATCGATAGTTCGATGCATCGTTACAGCCCTGCTGATTTGAATTTCCCACTGGACTCAGAGGAGGTCGCTTTCCATAGCAGCAAGTCTGCTAGTGGAGGTGAAATGTCAAAAGAAACTATGTGTACCTAGTGTGCCTTGTGTGTGTGATTATGACTATAAAATCAGACTTGTTTTTAATTTTTACTATCGGTAATGATTCACCCGATCATTAAAAATAAACTTTGGCCTGAAGCCGACTGAAAACCACTTGGACCCACAGCTTTTGCTTCCTGCAAGTCCTTATGGGTGACAGCTTTTTCATCCCCAATATCAGACATATCCCTGTCTGAACATCCTGGGTTCGATTCCCCACATGGGTACAATGTGTGAAGCCCATTTCTGGTGTCCCCCACCATGATGTTGCTGGAATACTGCTAAAATATTCAGGCTTTTCAGAAGACTTGGATCTTGACATGGATGTTGGTTTTGTTGATTTTGTTGTAAATGAAGACTAGTCAGTCACGAGTTAAATTAAACTCTTTTACTCAGTTTGTTATTTGTCACATGTTTTGTTTGCTGGGAATTACTTATATTGTAGCTAAAATATAAGACCTATACATTCAGATAAGGACCCACAACTTTTTATGGTTCTGGGTCCTTAGGGGCTGCAGCTTTCAGGGTGAAGGGCAAACACCTGATACACACGATAGAAGACTTCATTCATACGACCAATATATACCAATAAAACAGCTCCCATGCTCTTCTTGGTGGAAATGTTACCTGCAGGGGGGTACAAATTGACAATAAATCTACCTGCACAAGCAATATTTTACCTGCAGTGGTGTAGCCTGGATATAGTGAAATCGACCCCTGACACCATACCCCTGATGAGCATCATGTTTGCTGTTCTTTTCACATAATCATCATAATCATGATAGTGAGATAGAATACTGCAGAGAGCGGTGTTACCCATGTCAGCCACTCTGAGTCCCTCAAGGTGGGAGGTTGATAAGGAATATTTAATTGCTAGTTATTCCATGGCCATCATGGCAAACCAGGCAAATGTCATTGCATTTATGTTTTTGTAAAGCAAAACTTAAATAGGGCAAGTAACAAACTGCTGTGTCATAACTGGCTGATATTTTAGTGTGTGAGTGAGTATCCTTTTAACAATATTCATGAAATATTCCAGCAATATCATGGTATGGGACACCAGAAATGGGCTTCACATTCTTGACTTATTTATTATCCCCCACCGCGCGTTTAACGCAAAACGGGGGATATAGTATTAGGCTCCGTCCGTCCATCCGTACAAATTGGAATATATTAAGAACCGTTCACTATATTCTTTTCATATTTGGTACCTGGGTTCATCACACTATAAGAAAGGTCAAAGTCAGGTTTGGTGTCCTGGACCTTCATTTCAAGGTCACAAGGGGACTTTCACGTTTTACCTGCATGTTAAGCTATCTCAAGAACCGTTCCCTGGATTCTCTTCATATTCAACCCCAAGCTTTATCTAGGGAAGGCGCAAGGCCCAGTCGATTTTGGTGACCTTCACTTTATTTTCAAGGTCATGGCAACACCCCAAAGATTTCAGCTTGTAAACCTGCATGTTAAGCTATCTCAGAACTGTTCTCTGGATTTTCTTCATATTTACCACCAAGTTTTATCTAGGGAAGGCGCAAGGCCCAGTCAATTTTGGTGACCTTCACTTTATTTTCAAGGTCACAGAGACACTTTGAAGATTTCAGCAATATTAACTTACATGTTATGCTTGTCAGCAAGATACCTCAAGAACCATTCACTGGAGTTACCAAGCTTCATCCTTGGAAGGCGCAGGGCCCAGTCAATTTTGGTGACCTTCACATAATTTTTAGGGTCACGAAGACACTTTGAAGATTTCAGCATGTTAACCTGAATTGTCAGCAAGATATTTTAAGAACGGTTCACTGGATTTTCTTCATAGACTTTCAAGACTTCCCTTGAATGTTTTTTCAATAAGCAATTTCTTTAGTTCTAGTTTTGCATATTTCATACACTATGACATTCATGTCAAGGTCAAAGTCAGTCTTGAAAATGTGTGTGTGTTTGAACAACTAAAGAGCCAGATATCAAGAGAGGTTGACTGGTCATGTTTTTGTTGACATTTAACTTCATCTTAAACTTTCATTACTTTATAAGTTTGATTTGATAATTTGTGGCGGGGGATTATGTCACCTTAGTGACAATGCTTGTATGACTTGACTTCATGCTATGCTACATGGGTACAATGTGTGAAGCCCATTTCTGGGGTCCCACGCTGTGATATTGCTGGAATATTGCTGAAAGGGATGTAAAACCATACTCACTCACTCACTCACTCATGAGTTCCATGGAGTGACCTCCCCTTGGAAGACCACAGCCTTGAATATTGGCTCCAATAAAAAGCATGAGGAAAATGATGAAGAGGACGAAGAACTGCAGACAAAAACTCACTCACTCACTGATCATGTTATGTGGATTTACACATGGTGTGAACACCATTTTTAATGTTTTATACCCACAAAAAATTGTAAATATGTTGTGATCATTCATAAAATCTTAAAATTATTGTCCTCATTTCCAAGTTGTACTCTTAAGCCTAAAAAAAAAAGCTTGTGGTTCCGATTTCCCAACCAACCCTAAATATTCCCGCCAAGCCTAACAATTTTACTCACCACATAATAAATGAAATTTATTTTCTGACACATGAGTAATCATCACTGTAATGTAAAAATATTTTGCAAAAAAACCCCAACAACCTACCTACCTACCCTAGTTCTGAAATGTAGGAAATTGGAACCACAACATTTATTTTTTTTTGCCTTATTTTTCCTGAAACAGAAATACAGATTAAAGTGCACTTGTCTTGTGTTTGTTGTTGCTCAATGTTGAGATTACACACACTGCACTACGATATATTGCTGAGGCGATAACCTTTGACCTACTTTCTGTCCCTGTCAAGCTAACACTACATCTGTTAGTCATCGGAGTACTGTTTACAATATCATTACAGGGTTTTATTGTCTACTGTAAATTATATTTTGTGGAACAATATATACTTACAGGTTTATAATATTCTTAAGTGGCATTGTTGGTATTATACTAAGCTGAAGGGCCCAGTAGGATGTGACAGAGTTGAACCCAAGGTGCAGGCTTGTAGGCTAACATCTGAATACGGAAAGAATCTCACTCACTCACTCACTCACTCACTCACACACTCACTTCACTCACTCACTCACTCACTCACTCACTCACTCACTCACTCACTCACTCACTCACTCACTCACTCACTCACTCACTCACTCACTCACTCACTCACTCACTCACTCACTCACTCACTCACTCACTGCTGGCCATAATTTTTTTGTTCATTTGTTTAATGCTTAAGTAATTGGTCATAAGAAATGACATGGGGTGTAAGAGTCAAACAGATGTGTGGCCAGACTTGGTGACCAGGTTGACGTATGCCATCAGTTCGTTGTGTGGATCATATCAATCACTGGATTGTGTGGTCCAGTCACAATTAATTGCAGACCTCATTCATAAGGCTGGAATGTTGCTGAGTGTGGTGCGAGAACATCCAGCAAACAAACCAGCTGTTTAATTTGCTGAATTGATCTGTGTGTCAGTAGACATTTTGCATAACCTAATCATAGCAGGTGTAAATATGTGAAAAGCAGGATCAATAAGGAACGGTTTTGGCCACAGTGGTGGAGTAGCTTTGCGGTTTAAACTCACAATGCTCGTCACGCTGAAGTCACCTGGGTTCGATTCCAAACTTGGGTACAATGTGTAAAGTCCTTTGTGGTATCCTCAGCCATGACATTGCTGGAATATTGCTGTAAGCAGCAAAACACAAACTCACTCACTTTTGCCAACTGAGGTTGCACAAACTGAATAATTGAATAATGAGGACTATATTTTGAAATCATCACAGGGTTCAGACAGCGCTTACTTAGTATGATTGAGTGAGTGAGTGGTTTTAGTTTTACACACTTTTAGCAATTTTCCAGCAATATTCCAGTGAGGGACACCAGAAATGGTCTTCACACATTGTACCCATGTGGGGAATCAAACCTGGGTCTTAGGCATGAGGAACGAACGCTTTAACCACTAGGCTACCCCACCGCCCCTTGTATGATTGAGAGTAGTGACTTCACTGAACACATGCTGAATGAATGTGTCACTAGAATGATGCCAAGAGATTTTCAAGAACTGCTTCTCTACTGTTTCAAACATGAGGAAGTACAATTGATCAAGATCTTATTCTTTGGACATGTTGAAGTAAATTAGTGTTAATAATATTAGTTATAAGTAAGTCAGTGGAAAACCCTGGTGATGATCATAAACATGATAAACAGTCACTCACTCACTCACTCACTCACTCACTCACTCACTCCTTTTCAGTCCTGCTTCTACGATATATATTTGTCTGTTTGTAGGTTGAAGTCCATGTTGTGTCATGCGAGAGTCCAGATTACCCACAGTGCACCTGACTATTCCAGCATGGCCTTCAGCACTGGTCTCATGAAACTGATCTTGGTGTCCTTCTGTGCACTGTTTCTGGTGAGTCAAATCACTAGTCATCATAGACAGACATACTGAAGCATGTAAACAAAGTAAGGAAATCGTGACTTGCCACTTGACATCAAGCAGTTTTCATGACAAGGGTCACCTGTGGGATGTTTGTATGGAGATTTATAAATTTAGTCATACAGTATTCAGCAGTGTCCAGGAAGCCGTGAACTTGAGGAATGTGTACTGTTTCCAAGTTCAAAATGTTGAATTTATGTCAACACATTTGAAAATGAACTGTTGAATGATTGCTTCATCAACAGAGTTGAACATGCTGAATTAATTCTTCTTTATCAGTGAAACATGATAAATTAATGCTTTATTGTCCTGAAAATGTTGAAAATCAGTACTCTTTTTAACTGAGTTAAACCTGTTGAATTAATTCTTCATTAGGCCAGACCAATTTTATTTCTTGTTTTATGGATTTTTGTCCTCAGAAAAAAAGGCAGGAGGGAAAAAATGAAAAATAAAAATCACTAGTCAAAGTAATATTCCTTTTAAGTACTAAAAATATTATATTTTTGGCATTTTATGAAGTGTATATGGGGCAAAAAACAATCCCAAATTTTACATTTTTGGCCAATAAAAGCATGAGGATTTTATTTTTTGAGAGGGGAAAATGAATTTTAATTTTTTTTCTTATTCTTGAAAAAATACGACCGGCGGACCCATAGAACAAGAATTAAAATTGGTCTGACCTTGTCAGAGTTTAAAATGTTGAATTAATCCTTCATTACCAGAGTTGAACATGTTGAAACAATGCATCTTTAACAGATTCACAAAGGTTGGATTAATGCTGCATTAGCTGAAAATGTTGAAATAATGACTTTATACAGCAGCAAGAAGGAATTTACACTCAATTGCAGGAAGTCATTCATTTGTTCAAATGCCTCTTACACTTTCTCCTCAGCATTTTCAGACCCTACATCACACATTCAGTCTCATTCAGTCATTCTCAGTAACACTCAGTCACACTCAGTATCATTCATTCACACTTAGCTACACTAAGTCACTGTCACTCACACTAAGTCACTGTCACTCACACTCAGTCACTGTCACTCATAGTCAGTGATTCTCAGTCACCGTCACTCACACTAAGTCACTGTCACTCATAGTCACTCACACTCAGTCACTGTCACTCAAAGTCAGTCACGGTCACTTATAGTCAGTCACACTCAGTCGTCACTCATAGTCAGTCACGTTTAGTCACTGTCACTCATAGTCAGTCACTTTCAGTCACTGTCACTCATAGTCAGTCACTTTCAGTCACTGTCACTCATAGTCAGTCACTGTCACTCACATTCAGTCACTGTCACTCATAGTCAGTCACATTTAGTCCCTGTCACTCATAGTCAGTCACAGTCAGTCACTGTCACTCATAGTCAGTCACTGTCACTCATAGTCAGTCACATTTAGTCACTGTCACTCATAGTCAGTCACAGTCAGTCACTGTCACTCATAGTCAGTCACTTTCAGTCAGTCACTCATAGTCAGTCACATTTAGTCACTGTCACTCATAGTCAGTCACATTTAGTCACTGTCACTCAAAGTCAGTCACATTTAGTCACTGTCACTCATAGTCAGTCACATTTAGTCACTGTCAGTCATAGTCAGTCACACTTGGTCAGTCAGTCACATTTAGTCACTGTCACTCATAGTCAGTCACATTTAGTCACTGTCAGTCACAGTCAGTCACTGTCACTCATAGTCAGTCACATTTAGTCACTTTCACTCATTGTCAGTCACAATTAGTCACTGTCACTCATAGTCAGTCACATTTAGTCACTGTCACTCATAGTCAGTCACATTTAGTCACTGTCACTCATAGTCAGTCACTGTCACTCATAGTCAGTCACATTTAGTCACTGTCACTCATTGTCAGTCACATTTAGTCACTGTCACTCATAGTCAGTTACATTTAGTCACTGTCACTCATAGTCAGTCACATTTAGTCACTGTCACTCATAGACAGTCACATTTAGTCACTGTCACTCATAGTCAGTCACATTTAGTCACTGTCACTCATAGTCAGTCACATTTAGTCACTGTCACTCATAGTCAGTCACATTTAGTCACTGTCACTCATAGTCAGTCACATTTAGTCACTGTCACTCATAGTCAGTCACATTTAGTCACTGTCACTCATAGTCAGTCATATTTAGTCACTGTCACTCATAGTCAGTCGATCGGGTGGTCAGTTTCGCTGACTTGGTTGACAAATGTCATCGGTTCCCAATTGCGCAGATCGATGCTTATGCTGTTGATCACTGGATTGTCTGGTCCAGACTCGATTATTTACATACCGCCACCATATAGCTGGAATATTGCTGAGTGCGGCGTAAAACTAAACTCACTCACTCACTCACTCATAGTCAGTCACATTTAGTCACTGTCACTCATAGTCAGTCACATTTAGTCACTGTCACTCATAGTCAGTCACATTTAGTCACTGTCATGCATAGTCAGTCACATTTAGTCACTGTCACTCATTGTCAGTCACATTTAGTCACTGTCACTCATATTCAGTCGCAGTCAGTCACTGTCACTCATAGTCAGTCACATTTAGTCACTGTCACGCATAGTCAGTCACATTTAGTCACTGTCACTCATTGTCAGTCACATTTAGTCACTGTCACTCATAGTCAGTCACACTCAGTCACTGTCACTCATAGTCAGTCACACTCAGTCACTGTCACTCATAGTCAGTCACATTTAGTCACTGTCATACATAGTCAGTCACATTTAGTCACTGTCACTCATTGTCAGTCACATTTAGTCACTGTCACTCATAGTCAGTCACAGTCAGTCACTGTCACTCATAGTCAGTCAGTCAGTCACTGTCACTCATAGTCAGTCACATTTAGTCACTGTCACGCATAGTCAGTCACATTTAGTCACTGTCACTCATTGTCAGTCACATTTAGTCACTGTCACTCATAGTCAGTCACATTTAGTCACTGTCACTCATAGTCAGTCACATTTAGTCACTGTCACTCATAGTCAGTCACAGTCAGTCACTGTCACTCATAGTCAGTCACATTTAGTCACTGTCACTCATAGTCAGTCACATTTAGTCTCAGTCAGGCCCTCTTAGTAACACTCAGTCACACTTGGTCACATTTAGTCACATTAGTCGCATTCAGTCACAATTGGTCACATTTAGTCACACCCGGTGACATTTAGTCACACTCAGACGCAGTCAGGCCCTCTTAGCCACATTCAGTCACTGTTGGTAACACTGAGTCACACTCAGTAACACACTTGTTCAGTAAGTCACACACAGTCACACTCGGTCAGTCAGTCACATTTAGTCACACTTAGTCTCAGTCAGGCCGTCTTAGTCACACTCAGTCACACACTGTCACAGTCAGGCCGTCTTAGTCACACTGAGTCACACTCGGACACAGTCAGGCCGTCTTAGTCACACTCAGTCACACTCGGTCACAGTCAGGCCGTCTTAGTCACACTCGGTCACAGTCAGGCCGTCTTAGTCACACTCAGTCACAGTCAGGTAGTCTGTTACACTCTGTCTCATTCAGGCATACATTCATTTTGTCACACTCAGTCACTGAGCACTCGAGAACATTTGTAAATGGAATCCTGTGTTTTGTATAAATCAATTTCATTATTAACTGTTACTACCACAGACAACCACTTACCCAGACAACCACTCACCCAGACATCCACTCTCCCAGACAACCACTTACCCAGACAACCACTCACCCAGACAACCACTTACCCAGACAACCACTTACCCAGACAACCACTTACCCAGACATCCACTTACCCAGACAACCACTCACCCAGACATCCACTCACCCAGACAACCACTCACCCAGACATCCACTCACCCAGACAACCACTCACCCAGACAACCACTCACCCAGACAACCACTTACCCAGACAACCACTTACCCAGACAACCACTTACCCAGACAACCTCTCACCCAGACAACCACTCACCCAGACAACCACTCACCCAGACAACCACTCACCCAGACAACCACTCACCCAGACATCCACTCACCCAGACAACCACTCACCCAGACAACCACTTACCCAGACAACCACTCACCCAGACAACCACTCACCCAGACATCCACTCACCCAGACAACCACTCACCCAGACATCCACTCACCAAGACAACCACTCACCCAGACATCCACTCACCCAGACAACCACTCACCCAGACAACCACTCACCCAGACAACCACTCACCCAGACAACCTCTCACCCAGACAACCACTCGCCCAGACAACCACTCTCCCAGACAACCACTCGCTCAGACAACCACTCGCTCAGACAACCACTCGCTCAGTCACTGTCACTCATAGTCAGTCACATTCAGTCACTGTCACTCATAGTCAGTCACATTTAGTCACTGTCACTCATAGTCAGTCACATTTAGTCACTGTCACTCATAGTCACTCACACTCAGTCACTGTCACTCATAGTCAGTCACACTCAGTCACTGTCACTCAAAGTCACTCACACTCAGTCACTGTAACTCATAGTCAGACACTCTCAGTCACTGTCACTCATAGGCAGTCACATTTAGTCACTGTCACTCATAGTCACCCACACTCAGCCACTGTCACTCATAGTCACTCACACTCAGTCACTGTCACTCATAGGCACTCACATTCAGCCACTGTCACTCATAGTCACCCACACTCAGTCACTGTCACTCAAAGTCACTCACACTCAGTCACTGTAACTCATAGGCACTCACATTCAGCCACTGTCACTCATAGTCACTGTCACTCAGTCACTGTCACTCATAGGCAGTCACATTTAGTCACTGTAACTCATAGTCACCCACACTCAGTCACTGTCACTCATAGGCACTCACCTTTAGTCACTGTCACTCATAGTCACCCACACTCAGCCACTGTCACTCATAGTCACTCACACTCAGTCACTGTCACTCATAGTCACTCACACTCAGTCACTGTCACTCATAGGCACATTTAGTCACTGTCACTCAAAGTCACTCACATTTAGTCACTGTAACTCATAGTCACCCACACTCAGTCACTGTCACTCATAGTCACCCACACTCAGCCACTGTCACTCATAGGCACTCACACTGAGTCACTGTCACTCATAGTCACTCACACTCAGTCACTGTCACTCATAGGCACATTTAGTCACTGTCACTCAAAGTCACCCACACTCAGTCACTGTCACTCATAGGCAACATTTAGTCACTGTCACTCATAGTCACCCACACTCAGTCACTGTCACTCATAGTCACCCACACTCAGTCACTGTCACTCATAGTCAGTGACTCTCAGTCACTGTCACTCAAAGTCACTCACATTCAGTCACTGTCACTCATAGTCACTCACACTCAGTCACTGTCACTCATAGGCACATTTAGTCACTGTCACTCAAAGTCACTCACATTTAGTCACTGTCACTCAAAGTCACTCACATTCAGTCACTGTCACTCATAGTCACTCACACTCAGTCACTGTCACTCATAGGCACATTTAGTCACTGTCACTCAAAGTCAGTCACATTTAGTCACTGTCACTCATAGTCACCCACACTCAGCCACTGTCACTCATAGTCACTCACACTCAGTCACTGTCACTCATAGGCACTCACATTCAGCCACTGTCACTCATAGTCACCCACACTCAGTCACTGTCACTCATAGGCACATTTAGTCACTGTCACTCAAAGTCACTCACATTTAGTCACTGTCACTCATAGTCAGTCACATTCAGCCACTGTCACTCATAGTCACTCACACTCAGTCACTGTCACTCATAGGCACATTTAGTCACTGTCACTCAAAGTCACTCACATTTAGTCACTGTCACTCATAGTCAGTCACATTTAGTCACTGTCACTCATAGTCAGTCACACTTGGTCAGTCAGTCACATTTAGTCACTGTCACTCATAGTCAGTCACATTTAGTCACTCACTCATAGTCAGTCACAGTCAGTCACTGTCACTCATAGTCAGTCACATTTAGTCACTGTCACTCATTGTCAGTCACATTTAGTCACTGTCACTCATAGTCAGTCACATTTAGTCACTGTCACTCATAGTCAGTCACATTTAGTCACTGTCACTCATAGTCAGTCACATTCAGTCACTGTCACTCATAGTCAGTCACATTTAGTCACTGTCACTCATAGTCAGTCACAGTTAGTCACTGTCACTCATAGTCACTCACACTCAGTCACTGTCACTCATAGTCAGTCACAGTCAGTCACTGTCACTCAAAGTCACTCACACTCAGTCACTGTAACTCATAGTCAGACACTCTCAGTCACTGTCACTCATAGGCAGTCACATTTAGTCACTGTCACTCATAGTCACCCACACTCAGCCACTGTCACTCATAGTCACTCACACTCAGTCACTGTCACTCATAGGCACTCACATTCAGCCACTGTCACTCATAGTCACCCACACTCAGTCACTGTCACTCAAAGTCACTCACACTCAGTCACTGTAACTCATAGGCACTCACATTCAGCCACTGTCACTCATAGTCACTGTCACTCAGTCACTGTCACTCATAGGCAGTCACATTTAGTCACTGTCACTCAAAGTCACTCACATTTAGTCACTGTCACTCATAGTCAGTCACATTTAGTCACTGTCACTCATAGTCAGTCACAGTCAGTCACTGTCACTCATAGTCAGTAACATTTAGTCACTGTCACTCATAGTCAGTCACATTTAGTCACTGTCACTCATAGTCAGTCACACTCAGTCACTGTCACTCATAGTCAGTAACATTTAGTCACTGTCACTCATAGTCAGTCACATTTAGTCACTGTCACTCATAGTCAGTCACATTTAGTCACTGTCACTCATAGTCAGTCACATTTAGTCTCAGTCAGGCCCTCTTAGTAACACTCAGTCACACTTGGTCAAATTTAGTCGCATTTCGCATTCAGTCACAATTGGTCACATTTAGTCACACCCGGTGACATTTAGTCACACTCAGACGCAGTCAGGCCCTCTTAGCCACATTCAGTCACTGTTGGTAACACTGAGTCACACTCAGTAACACACTTGTTCAGTCAGTCACACACAGTCACACTCGGTCAGTCAGTCACATTTAGTCACACTTAGTCTCAGTCAGGCCGTCTTAGTCACACTCAGTCACACACTGTCACACATCTTAGTCACACTCACTGTCAGTCAGGCCGTCTTAGTCACACTCAGTCACACTCGGTCACAGTCAGGCCGTCTTAGTCACACTCAGTCACACTCGGTCACAGTCAGGCCGTCTTAGTCACACTCAGTCACAGTCAGGTAGTCTGTTACACTCTGTCTCATTCAGGCATACATTCATTTTGTCACACTCAGTCACTGAGCACTCGAGAACATTTGTAAATGGAATCCTGTGTTTTGTATAAATCAATTTCATTATTAACTGTTACTACCACAGACAACCACTTACCCAGACAACCACTCACCCAGACAACCACTCACCCAGACAACCACTCACCCAGACAACCACTAACCCACACAACCACTCGCCCAGACAACCACTCTCCCAGACAACCACTTCCCCAGACAACCACTCGCCCAGACAACCACTCACCTTGACATCCTCTCACCCAGACAACCACTCACCCAGACAACCACTCGCCGAGACAACCACTCGCCCGGACAACCACTCGCCCAGTGAGCCACTCACCTTGACATCCTCTCACCCGGACAACCACTCACCCAGACAATCACTCACCCAGACAACCACTCACCCAGACAATCACTCGCCCAGACAACCACTTTCGCCCAGACAACCACTCACCTTGACATCCACTCACCAAGACAACCACTCACCCAGACAACCACTCACCTTGACATCAGCTCACCCAGACAACCACTCACCCAGACAACCACTCACCTTGACATCCACTCACCCAGACAACCACTCACCCAGACAACCACTTCACCCAGACAACCACTCATTTGACATCCTCTCACCCAGACAACCACTCACCCAGACAATCACTCACCCAGACAACCACTCACCCAGACAATCCACTCGGCCAGACAACCACTCCCCAGACCACTGGTGGGGCGGTGGGGTAGCCTAGTGGTTAAAGCGTTAATTTCGTCCGCGCGCCGAAGACCCGGGTTTGATTCCCCACATGGGTACAATGTGTTAAGCCCATTTCTGGTGTCCCCGCCACTGATATTGCTGGAATATTGCTAAAAGCGGTAAAACTAAACTCAGTCAGTCAGCCAAACCACTTTCGCCCAGATAACTACTCACCTTGACATCCTCTCACCCAGACAACCACTCACCCAGACAACCACTCACCCAGACATCCACTCACCCAGACAACCACTCACCCAGACAACCACTCACCTTGACATCCTCTCACCCAGACAACCACTCACCCAGACATCCACTAACCCAACCACTGCTCCCAAGACATCCACTAACCCAGACATCCACTCACCCAGACAACCACTCTCCCAGACAACCCACTCGCCCAGACAACCACTCAGCCCAGACAACCACTCACCTTGACATCTCTCTCACCCAGACAACCACTCACCCAGACAACCACTCACCCCAGACATCCACTCAACCCAGACATCCACTCTCCCAGACAACCATTCACCCAGACAACCACTCACCCGGGACAATCACTCACCCAGACATTACTCACTAAGACAACCACTCACCCAGACAACCACTCAACCAGACAACCACTCACCTTGACATCCACTCACTGAAGCTAACCACTCACCCAGACATCCAGTCACCTAGACAACCGCTCACCCAGACAACCGCTCATCCAGACAACCACTCACTCAAGCTAACCATTCCCTCAGTACAACAGCTAGCTCAGCATGCTCTTACAGCCCCTGATTCCCTTCAGCAATTACCAGTACCTTCATCACTGCCACATGCATATGCAACTGTTAATTGTGGTTACCTGGTTACAGATTGCTGGCATTGGTATAGCCGCCGTTTCAATATGGAGTATAGCAGACAAGATCTTCCTGTCGCACATCATCGGCTCGCAGCTCTTCTCCATTGCGTCCTACTTCCTGCTTATCGGCGGTATTGTGGTGGTTGCCAGCTCCATTTTGGGACTCATCGCCATCACTCAGAAAAACAGGATCTTGATCATTGTGGTAATTTAAGCTTAACTCTGTCTCTTTGTAATAAGGCAGTGGGGTAGCTTTGTGTTTAAAGCATTAAGCTCATCATGCCAAAGACCGGGTTCGATTCCCCACATGGGTAAAATATGTGAAGCCCATTTCTGGTGTCCCCCGCCGTCATATTGCAGGAATATTGCTAAAAGTGGCGTAAAACTATACTCACTCACTCTTTGTAATAGTTATTGTCTTGAGTTAAATCCAGGGCCCTGTTCCACAAATCATCTTAGCTCTACAACTGTCTGAGTCTATGTTATACTATAGTATTGGAATTATGATTGTGTTAGCACTAATGTCGATTTTGAAAGAGACCCAGATTCCAGTTTGGAAGAATATTCTGTTCCTAAGTAGTGTTGGGAATTGGTTAAAATCTCATAATTGATGATTGGTTCATTCCAGTCGATCAATCATAGAAAATAATTGGTTAGCATCATTTATTAAATTTGTTAATGCACACAAAAAAATAAGAAAAAAGCCCATGTAGTTCTTTGGGGTTTTTTGGGCAAAATTTCACATCTTTAAAGGATGACTAGTATGTTAGGAACATAAATTTCTTAGAGCCTTTAAGATAAATTCAATCATGACTTGGAATGAGCTTGTAGTGCTTATGAAATCTAACAGACAAAACCAACCTAGTTAACAATTACTGTACAAATAGCTATGTTCATAAGGAAGTGCAAGTGGTGATGCACTCTCAAAACTTTCATTATTATCATCAACATTGATTGACTCCAATATATCTCCTAATTTTTTCAATCGTAAATTAAAGAATGAAGTTCCCCTACTTTTTGTTAAGATTATACATACATTTTACATTGTTCATAAAGTGCTTACTAACACAAACCCAGGCACACAAGACATGGTGATTTAAAACACATAGGAATGTGGTGTATTTGCAATCATTCTCCTGTATCAGACTCATTTTTGCAGAAATCCTAATCGAACAATTTTCATTTTTGTCTGCAGTTTTTCATCCTCCTCCTCGTCATTTTCCTCATGCTCTTTATCGGAGCTATCATGGCCGTGGTGTTCCAAGGGGAGGTAAGTCACTCCATGAAACTCATGACAGTCCTGTCGTTGTAATGATCTGTATTATACAGGGGCCATGGAGGATAAAGTCATGTAATGACTACAGTTTGGGGTCTCAAGGTGCATGCTGGTCTTTGCGAAAAAGCAGTTTGAATCTCAGATTCCCACAACAATGTTTCCTAGTCTGGCAGCAACATGGATTCATGTAAAACCTGCTATGTACGTCAGGTGCTTTGGTTATTTTGAATAGTTTAAAGGTTTTAAAAATTGATATTTTACCTTATGCTGGACCCTTGAAGATCCAAGTTAGAACTGGTCTTCAGTAACCTCGTATGAGCCGACTAACGGGATCGGGAGGTCAGGCTCGCTGACTTGGTTGACTTGTCATCGTATCCCAGTTGCATAGATCGATGCTCTTGCTGTTGATCACTGGATTGTCTGATCCAGACTTATTATTGACAGACAGCTGCCATACAGCTGGAATATTGCTGAGTGCGGCATTAACCAACTAACCAACCAACCAACTAACCAACTTATTCCTGACTCATACTGATGGCCTAAATGAGGAAGTATTTTCCCCGACCAGCTTGAAGATCAGATGCAGAATTCCATGGCTGAATCACTGCAGCAGAAATATGGTGCCAGTGGAACAGAGAATGTTGCTGCTACTGAAGCGTGGGACAGATTGCAGAAAGAGGTATGTTGGCCATTTTGTTTCTCTCCCATGTTGTAGTTACATGCTGCTAAGCTGATACAGAATTGTCGTTGAGTCAAATATGGTACACATTGTGATAATAAAATCTAAAATAACAACTACCTTTTTTCTAGGTCTGGGTTAGAATTGATCTTTAGCAACCCATGCTTATCTTAAGACGCAATTAACAGGATCGGGTGGTCAGGCTCACTGACTTGGTTGACACAAGTCATCATATACCAGTTGTGTAGATCGATGCTCATGTTGTCAGTCACTAAATAATGTCTGGTCTAGACTCTAGAATATTTACAGACTGCTGTCATATGGCTGGAATATTGCTGAATGCTGCGTTAGACGAATAAAAAAAGATAAATAAACTAAACTTGATGTCATCTGACATCAATTACATGTATATGAATTTTCTACTATTCAGTCCTAGAGATAATGTAACATATTGCTACTGGGATACCAAGAAGGTACAGTAAGTCCCCCCAATCCTAAGTATTGTGACCTAACAATCATAGCTGTTAATAATTTAATTGTAAGTAAATTTAACATATTCCTCAGTTGCGGTGCTGTGCTGTGCGTGGCTCAGATTGGGAACTCTACCAGAATACAATATTCTTCAGAGAACAACAGAGTGAGTAATAACCATGATTTACAGTCAGTGTGCTGTTCCCCATGCTGCTGGTTCAGTGCTTTGCCAAATCAGTCAATTGTTCTATACTGTTCTACACACTCTTATACGTTTTTTTCTTCACGATTTTCTAATACAGTGTTCTTCATGCTGTGAACCCGTGAAGGTCCAGGCTAGAAATGGTCTTCAGTAACCCATGCTTGTCATAAGAGGCGACTAACGGGATCGGGTGGTCAGGCTCGCTGACTTGGTTGACACATGTCATCGTATCCCAATTGTGTAGATCGATGCTCCTGCTGTTGATCACTGGATTGTCTGGTCCAGACTCAATTATTTACAGACAGCTGATACAGAATTGTCGTTGAGTCAAATATGGTACACATTGTGATAATAAAATCTAAAATAACAACTACCTTTTTCTAGGTCTGGGTTAGAATTGATCTTTAGCAACCCATGCTTATCTTAAGACGCAATTAACAGGATCGGGTGGTCAGGCTCACTGACTTGGTTGACACAAGTCATCATATTCCAGTTGTGTAGATCGATGCTCATGTTGTCAGTCACTAAATAATGTCTGGTCTAGACTCTAGAATATTTACAGACTGCTGTCATATGGCTGGAATATTGCTGAATGCTGCGTTAGACGAACAAAAAAAGATAAATGAACTAAACTTGATGTCATCTGACATCAATTACATGTATATGAATGTTCTACTAATCAGTCCTAGAGATAATGTAACATATTGCTACTGGGATACCAAGAAGGTACAGTAAGTCCCCCCAATCCTAAGTATTGTGACCTAACAATCATAGCTGTTAATAATTTAATTGTAAGTAAATTTAACATATTCCTCAGTTGCGGTGCTGTGCTGTGCGTGGCTCAGATTGGGAACTCTACCAGAATACAATATTCTTCAGAGAACAACAGAGTGAGTAATAACCATGATTTACAGTCAGTGTGCTGTTCTCCATGCTGCTGGTTCAGTGCTTTGCCAAATCAGTCAATTGTTCTATACTGTTCTACACACTCTTATACGTTCTTTTCTTCACAATTTTCTAATACAGTGTTCTTCATGCTGTGGACCCGTGAAGATCCGGGTTAGAATATTGATCTTCAGTAACCCATGCTTGTCGGAAGAGGCGACTAACGGGATCGGGTGGTCAGGCTAGCTGACTTGACTGATATATGTCATCGGTTCCCAATTGTGTAGATCGATGCTCCTGCTGTTGATCACTGGATTGTCTGGTCCAGACTCGATTATTTACAGACCTCCGCCATATAACTGGAATATTGCTGTGTGCAGCGTAAAACTAATTCTCTTCTTCACAATGTCCTACATAGTGTTCTACACATTGTACATAGTCTTCTACACACTGTTCTACATTCCCTTCACAATGTTCTACATAGTGTTCTATGCACTGTTCTACATACTACTCTACACACTGTTCTACATGCTGTTCTACACATTGGTCTACATACTGTTCTACATTCCCTTCACACTGTTCTACATAGTGTTCTACACACTGTTCTACATACTACTCTACTGTTGTTCTACATACTGTTCTACATTCCCTTCACAATGTTCTACATAGTGTTCTACACACTGTTCTACATACTACTCTACACACTTCTACATGCTGTTCTACACATTGGTCTACATTCTGTTCTACATTCCCTTCACAATGTTCTACATAGTGTTCTACACACTCTACATTCTACTCTACACACTACTCTACATACTGTTCTACATTCCCTTCACAATGTTCTACATAGTGTTCTACACACTGTTCTACATACTACTCTACACACTGTTCTACATACTGTTCTACACATTGGTCTACATACTGTTCTACATTCCCTTCACAATGTTCTATATAGTGTTCTATGCACTGTTCTACATGCTGTTCCATGTGCATTCTGTTTCTGTTCTATTTGCAGGCTATGAACAGAAGAAGTACGTTCCAGAGACCTGCTGTGTCTATGATGAAAGAATAGGAGATTACACTGACGTGAACAAGTGTCAGAACTTCGGCCTGGGACCACCTGACAATCCACAAACAGGCATCAAAAACAGCTTTCTGTATTATAATGTAAGTAGCATGGTTTCTTCTGATGTTTACTGGGGCAGTAGGGTAGCCTAGTGGTTAAAGCGTTCATTAGTCATGCCGAAGACCCAGGTTCGAATTCCCACATGGGTACAAGGTGTAAAGCCCATGCCTGATGTCCCCTGCCACGATATTGACAAGAATATTGCTAAAAGCGGCATACAACCAAACTCACTCACTCGCTCTTATATTTTACCTGTGGTATAGGTGCTCATAACGAGAATTCTATTTTAGAATTGCTCCATTGACGCATAGTAGTAAAAATGGCGCACTATTCCTTGACCTGGATAAAATGACTTGTAACAAACAGGCATAAACATATACCTTTGACAAACTTGCCAATATTTTCAACTTTACACATTTTCTAGCGATCAATGAGCATTCATAATCTTCACAGTGTTATGCACGCTTTCCAACATCCAGCGCTGTGCCTAAATCAATGCATGGAGCTTATAATACGTAGCTTATATTCAAGTCATGCTGTTTGTCTATACATTAAGAGTTAAGCCCCTTATCAGTAATTTCTATATCGAGGGGCGTTAACTGAATTTAAAGTTAGTTATCGAACCAAAATGTCAGGGGCAAAATCGTCTGCTGCTGTGAAGTGACAGTCGTGAATACTTTTGTTTTGTCAAATGATGGCAATTTTAATTCAGTAATTGCAACGGGAACATCGAATGTCAGTCACACAGCCAGCACAGTGGATGTTGAAACTGATAGCAAGACATGCCAGTCACGTTCTTTCAAAACAAGCATAATGTTTTCACAGATTGTCATCTCATTGAATTAACAGTTTATACACCTGAACAGCTGTAATTTGAATGATAAAATCATTAAAATTACTGAGTGAATAAATTTTCTTCCTTGTTTTTTCTGATGACCCACCTACAATGGCAAATGTCCCACAAGTTTCATTACCCATGGGCCCAGGGCCTACTTCATCTGAAAAGTAAAATAGACACTGGTAAAGACAGAAGTTCACTTGTGAGACTTGAGTTTGTCTGATTTTGAAGTAAATAAATAAAGGAAGGAAACTTCCTATCATCAAGAATAATATGCCCATTTATTACGGTGCATCATCTGAGTTGAAAGGAAGGTGGGTCAGCCTGATGATTAAAGCGTTCACTCTCCAAACTGAAGACACAGGTTCGATTCCCCATATTGATGGAATATTGATAAAAGCACTGTAAAACTGACATCACTCAAAATTGTTGAATTTATTTTTGTGATGGTTAAGAAATGGTGTGTACAATATATACTCGACCAGCTTATATTGTTTAGAGAAACTGTTTTTGATTTTGTACAGATGCCACATATAACCACACTTTCCACATGCTCCCCTCCTCATCCCCCCCTCTCAATTGAAGAAGAGAATGTATAACGCATACGCACACACTCTCTTTCTTTCTCTCTCTCTCTCTCTCTCTCTCTCTCACATCACACATTCACACACTCACACTCTCACACTCACACACATACACATCACTACACACACATACACACAATTGAGGAACATGTTCTTCTGGTTTTCATGAATAGGCACAAAATATAGCCATTTATGCTTCTTATGAAATGTTTCAGGGGTGCTATTCAAGTGCGAAGACGTTTCTTCTAGACCACTCTGGAATACTTATGGCCATTGGCTTTGTCTTCTCCATTACCATGGTAGGTTGCTATGACTTTGTATATTATACATTTTCTGCAAACCGGTGGGGAATTTGGTGTCGCACCTTGTCAACACACAAAACTGCACCTGAGTTCTGTGTGTGACCAAGCATGTTTTTATTACAAATATAGTGATCGTGTAAGCGCTAGGGGATGTGCTTCATTTGGGATCGCTTCAAAGATGGGGTATATAAATTAACATCGACTTTGAAGGGGAGTTGCCTCTACACACAGCTGTATCTTCTCATTATGACTACTTCCAATATGACTATTCCCGCTTTGCTGCTCATGAACATAAAGATATAAAGGAGCACCTCTTTACTTAATAATGTGTGATGCATGCAGGTTTTCGGTATAAGCTGAACATGTCTGGTAGTGTGGCTGACTACTGGTTGTAATTGATGGATTTAGATCTGATAATTAAGCTGCCTATTTTGGTGTACCCCAGGGTTCAGTATTGGGGCCACCCTTGTTTATTGTTTATATAAATGATATATTTGAAGGTATAAATATTAATATACACCTTTTTGCGGATGAAACTTCTTTATATGCGATCATTGATGATCCCGAGGTAACTCCTATTGATATGAACGATGATACTGTTAAATCATGGAATTTATTACCAGCCGAACACAGAGAATCACTGTGCCTATCGAGATTAAAAAATGTAATTTTGAACGATTTTAATATCTGCAGAAACAGTATTTGTAAATTCCCTTGAACTCTTTCTCAACAATGACCTAACGTAACCGGACATGTTGTTGTTTTGAAGACATGAATACCTATTGTTGTGATCATATTCATGTGTTTTAGTAGTTGAAGTATACATTATTGTGGTTATTAGCTAAATAGGGGGTGGTGGGGTAGTCTAGTGGTTAAAGCATGGGCTCGTCACGTCGAAGACCCGGGTTCGATTCCCCACATGGCTACAATGTGTGAAACCCATTTCTGGTGTCCCCTGCCGTGATGTTGCTGGAATATTGTTAAAAGCAGTAAAACCATACTCACTCACTATTAGCTGAATAAATATTGTATGAACCTGGTACAGCTATAATTGGTTTTCTATATATATTATTATGGTGGAACATTCTACCTGATGGAGGGGAGAGAGCTAGTAATTAAAACACATTTGACTGGAACAGGTTGTTTATTGGACGGATATCAAATTGGGAGTAATCATAATGGGAGTGGACCCACACAGCGATATATGGTATCTTAAATACTAAATAACAAGCTGACATATTGAAATACTGTTCAAAACAACATTAATCCCAACTCTCTCACTCCAGCCTAAATTCTGTGTATGCTATAAGATTGTACATTTGCATCACAGTGAATGCTGATGTTTTTAAACACAGTTTTTATTAAATTGGATTTGCTTTGCAGATATTTGGTTTGGTGTTGACGATATTCTATTTCCGACGTGTGGTTACTGCTCAGAATGAGGAACGTAAGCACAGATATACTGAAGAGGATGCTGCCAAGGAAGAAAGAGAGAACGAGAGACTGTGAGAGGCATGCTAGAACAAGAAACTAGCGGCTATGAGAGACACGGCCTTGACATTAAGTCACATGACCTTGACCTAAGTGCCATATGACCTTGCACTTCAGATATATTTGTCTTTAACTGAGAGTCATGACCTTGACTTTGTCAGTTATACGGAATTTATATCAGTGAAAGGATTCTAGCCTAACAAGTGCCTTGACCCTCTCATTTTTATAGTGTGCAGCCTTGAGATCTGATATCTGACAGTCATCACAGCAAAATAAGCTGATGCAAAACAGATATTGTCAGTATTCCAAACAGAAATGATTGTGAACTTGTGAAGGTGAGTTTAACAATGGTTACTGCCCACATGAAAAACAAACAGCTAGGTCCCTGGCTAGCATGTTTAACCAGAATGTATAGTCTAGTCTTTTTTTCAGAAAATAAGAAATGCAAAATGAACATGTTGTATGACAGATTTCACTGTTGCACAAGCGTCACTGGATATGTAGATTCTGTCAGTAGTTTATTGGAATATTTTATATGTTTTAGAAAAGAATTTTTTTGCTCAAGTCAACAATCGATGTGATTTCAGCAATATACGCATTTCATTTTGCTTTTAAGGAATGTAAAATGATTCAATATGCAAATATTAGTTGATGTCATAGTAAATGCCTTAGCTGCTTAGGCCAGACCAATTTTATTTCTTCTTTTACGGATCCGCCGGTCGGATATTTTCAAGAATAAGAAAAACAATAAAACTTTGTTTTCTCTGCTCAAAAAATAAAATTTTCATATTTTTATTGGCCAAAAATGTAAATGTGCAAGAAAATGTTTTTAGATTGTTTTTTGCCCCATATAGACTTCATAAATTGCCAAAAGTAAAATACTTTTAGTATTTAAAAGGAATATTACTTTGACTGGTGATTTTTTTAAATTTATTTTTTTCCCCTCCTTCCTTTAGATTTTCTGAGGACAAAAGCTTATGAAGCTGAGCTTATGGGTTTTACCGATCCCGCTAACATTGACTTTTGTCCCTCGTATGCTGACATTCCCTTAAATGATTTAGATCGTGTTTGAAAGTGTGAAACATTCCAACTCTTACTCTACACCAGAGATTTAAAACCAGAAAGACAATCATCATGTCCAGTTAATAAACCAAACAAAATTTGATAAAGATAACTTTGATTTGAATTTTCTGTAAGCTCCTCATAATGCTCTATTGTTACTCTATCCTTACATCAAATGGTCACCAGGTGTGCCACAATGACCACCCTTGAGAGAGTTTCTCCTCTTGGGCTGTATCATGTTCTTCATATCAGTGAAGCAATATTCTTCAGGAAATTCCCTCATGTGTAGCAGGAGTGATCCAGATAGTCCACAGACTTGACTCAGGGAATATCATAGTTTTAGGAATGTAGTAATTGTCAGAAGAACACATTCAGGTTCAGAAGTAGCAAATATTATGCTGTGACTGAGTGTCCTGACTTAATACCTTACCAAGAGGCATTAACTTCATACAGAAACAATATACCTTTTTCATATGGATAGTGTTATCGATGCAATAAGCAAATCTGATTAACCTGTATCACATTCTGATGAAGCTGCAGGTGAGATCATCCACTCTGCCACAGGCCAGAGAGAAGTGACGATTCCTCACATCTTGCACAGTCCATTCAATATATTGTACCGGTAGATATTTCTTAACGCTTTTATTTTTGATGGGTCTACACATCTAATTTAACTTCTTTGATAAAATGGATTACTTTCACTGAGAAAATATCCTAAAACGTGTAACACTGTTTCAATTTGTGTAGCGACCCTTTGTTTACATGGTTGTGCAGTTCCATGTGCTGTCATCGAAGCCCTTCAGAGAGCAAGCGATGCAGTCACTTGATGTATAATTATGTATTGTCATAAACCTTACTGTCACAGTTATAGAAGAATATCTATTTAACAATGTAAAACAATCTGAAGAGCTCACCGAAAAGCTTGCATTCGGCCAGTCTTTTCTGATTTACAAATATGTGTGTTTGTTTGCAAACAAGAAGAAAGTCTGGTCATGTGATATGCAAATTAGTCAGTGGCAGTTATGTTATGCTACGTCATCACCGCGCCGGAGTGTGGAGATCATCAAGCCGGAACTACTTTAATGGAGCTTCTAGAAGATGGTTATAAGCTTCAAACATTTAAGCAGGGCCTTCAAATGTTTGATTGACATTCTAGAAGATTAAAACGCTGAACATGTTGATGTAGATTCTTACACTGTTATCAAGTTGAAATAGTCTGAGGCCAAATGTTATGAAAGTCAGGAGCTGTCAGCAGCAGTGAAAGTGTTATCCAATATTTAGTATGACACCTCCCACCCTCCAGAAATTCTTGTTGATATGGAACTAGCCACAGAATGTATCAGGTTACTAAAACAAACAAAGTTTACCCCGCTGTTGAAACAGTGTCCACATGTTTATAGACCAACTGCAGGAGTATAAACCACATGGTCTAATGGACGATGACAAGCACCTGTGTTCAACATGGTCAAGGTATGCAGTATGGGGGATAAGGTCGGGTGTATCATATTACTCCTCTCTACATTTGGCCCAGGAGTAAAAGATAGTGTAAGAATTTACATCAAAACTTTGCTCTATGCATAAACAAGTTGTTTATCAATAAACTCCTGTGCCTCATCAGAGCCTGCTTGTTAAACAAGTGTCCCTTACATATCCATTAGTTTTTTAGTGTGTGAGTGCTTTTGTGAATCATTACATAATAAATACTGATAGAGAAGTTCACTTGTATTGTTTTTCAAAGTGTTTTCTGATGTTTGCATGTCTAATATGGCTTCAACTATGCAAAGTTTGATTATTGAGAAGGACAATGTATGATGAACACATGATCAGCTTTGTAATCGTTGTATAATGTTTATTTTCATTACGCACCTGGAAAAAGGTGATCACCACCTCCTCTTTATCAAACTTATTATATCTTTTGAAACTATTCTCATATGAAACTTTTTTTGAATAGATGTCTACAAAACAGTCACACATCTTAGATAGTTGGTCAGTCCGGGGCCAATTTCACAAAGCTATCGTAACACTACGACTGTTGTAAATCTATGTTACAGTATAGGAGGCATGACAGTCAAAAGTGCTACGATAGCTTTGTGAAACGGCATCCAGGGTTGCATGTGTATCATATCATATGATATATCAAATCATATGATACAAAGAAACAGAAAACCAAAAAAATAACATGCAGTCATATGACTCCTATGGGACTCACGGAATTATCATCTATTTTGTTTTTTATATGACTGTTTTATGTGGAAATATATATACTGAAAAAAAAGTTACAGGATCATGAACACTATGGGATATAGAGAATACTACACGTGGGTAATAAATACTTTTATAAAATTGTATGCTTAGTCTTCATAAAAGAAAAAGATAAAATGTTTCTATTTCCTGACTTTCTTACAGTATAATGTGCAGTGCTTGACTACTATCAGTAGTGTGTATGATATTCTCGGTATGAAGGTGTCCGGGATTACCGTCTTTGATGTATTTAACTAGTATTGGGAATTGGTTAAAATCTCATTATTGATGTTTGGTTCATTACCACCGATCAATCATCGAAAATAATTGGATAGCGTCATTTATGAAATTTGTTAATGCACAAAAAATATGGAAGAAAAAACCGTAGTTATTTTTTGGTCTTTTTGGCAAAATTCCACATCTTTAAAGGATGACTAGTATGTTAGGAACATAAATTTCTTGGTGTCTTTAAGATAAATTCAATCATGACTTGGAACTAGCTTGTAGTGCTCATGAAATGTAACAGACTAAAACAACCTTGTGAAAAATGTTGTTAATGCAAGTAATCCAGAATTGTTTGTGTTCGATCATGAGAAAACATGATAGATTGCTTGGTCGTTTAGTCACTGCGAACAATCTTCGATTATTTCAATTAATCAGACCACCACTATATTTAACGCCTTTGGTGCTGAAATTTTTTTAAAAGGGGGCGTTTATTTAATCACTTGTCAGTCACTTGAGCCAGTAAAAACAACATATCAAAATGCTAAGTTATAGAAAGCCTGTAAACAAGATAATCAAAATGCTAAGTTATAGAAATTACCGGCACTCTATTATGGCTGGTGACCTTTGTTGCAGTGAGAGCATGAGATTGGTAACTCACCTGAAAACCCTTCTCCATTGACAATTTGTATGTATACAACTTAAACAAACCTCAAAAAGGGGGGCACTATAAAAGAATATTTTTTGTTTATTTGAACATATGGTCGGGGATGGGGGTGTGGATGGGGCATTATGAGGACAGGGCGCTTAATATGTCGAATACGGTAATCCCCAACCATCGTCTTGTCTGTCAGAAAGAACCCTGACCTACGTTGACGCTGTCACCTGTGAAGGGTGTATGGCTATTGCTGCACCATTTTGAAGTGTTTGTTTAAACCAATGTTGCAATCTAATGGAAGCACCTAATTATATGAGGAGAGGAGGAGTTGATTAGCTGCTGAGAAATACTTACAGGCTTTCTACTTCAAAGGCTTCCTTTTAATGAAGCATTTAAACTTTGAGAGGCGAGATAAACCAGTGAACTTGTTGAAATGTGTGATTTGAGAAGTTAAATAGATATTTTTTTCAGTTTTCTTTTGCCTGGGATTCATCAGTTTAAGTCTGAATGTGAAAATAATGTCACACTTTCGCGATGTTGTTTTACACAGAATGTATGTGAGAATGTCTGTGGTGCATAAAATCCTTCATATTCCAGTGAAACAGAGTATATTTTATGAGCTGTTTACATGATTTTCTGCTTGCTTAGGATTCATTTCTATTTGAACTCGGTTCAATCAGTTCCATGCTGTAATGAGAATGTTTAGAGAAAACATCACCTTGTGTGTTCTCATATGTTGGTAGTGGCTGTATGGCTGAAATAATTCTGATGCAACTGTAAATTTTAATTCACCTTGTAAAAAGTATGATTTAAATCACAATGCTTTAGACCACAAACCTCTTTGATAAGTATGTTTATTGTATGTCTTTAGTGGTCTCATGTTTTTAACATGGAGATTCTGTTGTCGAGTTGCCTCCCTTGGGAACACCAGAAACCAATTTTGGGTTTGAATCCTGTTTTTTTTTCAAATCTATTGTTTAATAAAAATAGAAATCTGAAACCAAGAAGTAAATATGGCAGTATGTGACAAAAAGAAATGTATATGATCACTGAAAGTTTACATTCTGTTCTATTTTGACAATATCAACAACCAGTCAAGTATTGACAGATATGCTTATTCGCTCTGTAAACTGATCTGAAGTAATATAATGCTCAACTTGTCTTAAACTATGAATAAATTTGAAATCCATGTCAAAGCAGGCATTACGAATTATGTTAATGCAAATGCGAGGCTCTTTCCTGGAAACTTGCCAGCATCCCATCACCCCTTTTATGTGTAATGGAATAAACCACATGAATATTCATTTATGCAATAAATTTTTATGCAGTAAAGCAAATAATGAATTAAGGCAGCAATAGTGATGCCATAAACTGATCTCAGTTTTATGAGTTTTCATACTGAAAGGTTATATTTTTTAAGAAGTGTACAATTTCAATTTTTATAATTAATGAGTGTAAAAGTAAGCCTGAATTATTCCCCTCCATGGGGATTCTGGGTAGAACCGGCCGCCAGAACATACTCTGATATGGTCAACTTGGTCAGGTTGGTCAGGCTTTTTGACTTGGTTGCATTTCATCATACCCTGACAGTGTTGATAGGTGCTCACTATATCGACCACTGGATCGATCGCGTAATCCTAAGATGATTGATTAAGTGTGTGGCAGCTGATGAGCTGATCAACACAAATGGCATAGTAAACCAGTCACTGTGTTCTTTAATCTAATTGGTTGAAAAACATGATCGAATGGTATTCGATTCTCGGAAATTCGCTGCGTATTAATACATACACACATCGCTCACACCATTGTATTGTTACATCGTCAGCTGTGATGACGTCATTAAAATCATATTGTGACGTAAAGTCTGAATGAGGTCACAAATGAGCAATTCCAGATGCTACCATGGGAGACAGCTGAAACGGCCGGCTGATGACATTTCACTGCTGTACCCGTACTCGATGTCAATGAGTGCAGACACAAAAACGTGTGTGGACCTTTTGGTTTACTTTTATGTTTACAATGTCGATAAACGTCATGTGTTGGCCAATTTCCGGGTGTTATTGAGTATTTGATGTTAATCACCTAAATCAACCACATAGACTGTTTACTAAATATTAACTTAATGAACAACCATGTTCCGGTTTACTGGCATGTGGATGAGTGCTCACTACATCAATCACTGGACCGATCGTCTGGTCCTGACATGATTGTTTATGTGAATGTGGTAATCGCCACGGAGACTGTTAACTAATCATTCACTGCAATAAACGCCCAATTATTCCTGTTTACTGGCATGTATGCAATTATTACAACTAATTATGTCCATGATGTTATTATTCCATGATTAAATATCAGTTGTTTTTGTTGACACTGTTGTAATCTCCCATGTTGAATCATGTATATATTTAGCATGTTGCTACTTATAAGACTGTCAATGTGATATATAAGAATGTTATCTGAAATCTTTACTTCATTATCAAGTGTTTTATGACAACCATTATTGGCATGAGTATATTTTTATAAGCCACCTGGACCCATTCACTCTATCAGATTCCATTTAAAGTGAATTGTGTAGATCGATGCTCATGCTGTTGATCACTGGATTGTTTGGTCCTGACTCGATTATTTACAGACCGCCACCTTATAGTTGTTGAAGATGTGAATGAGTCCAGGGTCTTTAATAGAATATTAAAATACATTGTTAAATTATGATACACTAGATTTGTGAATTGTTAATAAATGCAGATGTGTTTTAGTTGTGAAAGTGTTTTGATTGCTCAAAGTCACAGCCTTAGTGAGAATGAAAACCACATTCCCTGCTCATGACATGTTTTAGATCTTCATTCATCACTTTAACCACTGTGACAAAAGTCATGGTTTCAGTAATATGAAATAAAATAGTTTTTTACAACTTCAAAGGTTATTGTTCAGAGGCCTATTTAAGCTTTAACATAAAACCAGGCTGCACTGATTGAGTTCTATGTATCTAGAATGTGGAAATTTGCATATTCAATTATTTATAATTTGTATTGCCTTGGCTGTTGTGAAAATTGTTTTATATATTTTTACTAGAAATGAGATACTGACGACAATCATTGTTGAAGATATCTGCTGGTCTGTGTTAGAATATATAACCTTTCCCTGAGCTAGAAATGAATTTAAAAAAATATTATTTTAACTTACTGTCGAAATTATTAAAAGATATGGTATTTTGTATTCTTTTGCATTAAGTGTACATACTAACTACCTGTTTTTCTAGGTCTGGGTTAGAATTGGTCTTCAGTAACCCATGCTTACCGTAAGAGGCGACATGTGGAATTGGGAGGTCAGGCTCGCTGGCTTGATTGACGTCATTGTATCCCACTTGGATTGATGCTTATGCTGTTGATCACTGGATTGTCTGGTCCAGACTTGATTAAGTACAGACAGCCACCATATAGCTGGAATATTGGTGAGTGCGGCGTTAAACACCAACCAACCAGCCAACCAACCTTTGTTTCCTTTTCCGAAATGGTTAAACATATTCATATTTATGACTTTCCTGAACTGCTTAGGTACAGCAACATTGGATTTATGCCATTCAGTACAGTTCCACATAACGTGGTTATAATGATTGGTGACCGCCTCCGTGGTGTAGTGGTTAGAGCCTCCACCTGGAGAGCGGAAGGTCGCGGGTTCGATCCCCGACCGCGTCATACCAAAAGACGTTAAAATATGGTACTTGTTGGTCGCTGTCTGGCGCTCGGCATTAATGGGTACAACAAGGACTGGTCGGCTCAGAGTCAGTATAATGTGTCTGAGTGGGGTATTCATGCTTCATTGCGGCACGGTATCTCAGTGGGCTAGCAGTATAAAACCAGCTTCAGTCTGGGCTAGTACAAGCAGCCGCACATACACATACACACGCCTGCCGTCATATGAGCGAAATATTCTCAAGAACGACGTAAAACCCAATTTCACCTCACCTTACCTATAATGATTGGTTTTCAGTTTGTTGTTTAACACCGCTCTCAGCAGCATTACAGCTATATAGTGGTGGTCCGTAAATAATTGAGGCTGGTCCGGACAATCCAGTGATCAACAGCATGAGCATCAAGCTAAGCAATTGAGATACGATGACGTGTGCCAGCCAGGTCAGCAAGCCTGACCACGGATCCGTTAGTCGCCTCTTACCATAAGCACAGATAGCTGAATATCAGTTCTAACCCGGATCTTCACAAGCCAGGTAATAAAGTCACATCACCATAAGAAAATATTCTATCACTACTCCATTTTGCCTTGTCAAACTCTATGCAGCATATTGTAACATGCAAATGTTTTTGTGTACATGTACCATTCCAAAAATTGAAGAACACCTATTTTTCCTCATATGACTACTTAATCTGGCATGGCTTGTGGACATTGCAACAGGCAGCCAGTTGTGGGGGTATTTTAACTTGTTTGAATAGTATATATAAATAATATCACTCACTGCTCAGTTGTCAAGTATTTTTGCCTGAAGTGCTTCATATTGGTCAGAGGTTGTTGTGCATGACTACTGACCTTGTGCTGGAAGTACAAGGTCATACCAGCAGATGTCCTTAATGAATTTGAGATGGTTTTTTTAAAATGCAAATGGCTGTGCCCTATAGAATACTGCAGCCCAGTGCCTGTCTTGTGTATATGCCATGGTTCTTGTAGCCTTATGTAACAGAAACCATATCACCAGGGAAGATGTCCATGAACTGTGTCTTAATGAAGTTTGTTATCATGAACAGGTTTGTTGCTTTCATCGTTGAAATTACCCTTTTGTGTGTTTCTTGTATATATTTCTCATTGTGGAATTTTATAATAAAAACATCTTTTAATATTGATTTTTTATGAAGAGTTATTTTATTTACTTTGTGGTGTAGAGGTTTACACTTACAAAGATGTTGTACACTAACCCATCTTTATCCCTTAGTTGCAGCTTCTTGGGACATAGGGGCGGTGGGTAGCCTAGTGGTTAAAGCGTTGGCTTGTCATGCCGAAGACCCGGGTTCGATTCCCCACATGGGTACAATGTGTGAAGCCCATTTCTGGTGTCCCCCGCCATGATATTGCTGGAATATTCCTAAAAGCGGCGTTAAGCCATACTCACTCACTCACTCTTGGGACATAGGCACACATAACAGGGTCTTCTTATAATAAGAGTTCCACTGCAAGCTATCAGTCATCACAGGGAAGGCAGAAACCACCTGTCACGATATGGCTGAAATACTACCGATGTCGCTTTATATTTTAACTCACGCAGAAACCACCGGAATGTAGTCAAAGAACTGTTGCCATAGATCAAAAAAAGAAGAAATTTCTCTCGGTTGCAGTGTATGCCTTGACAACATCATCCGAAAATTGGACCTTACCACTGCACCCATTAATTGGGCCAGACCACCTGATCCGTAAATGGCATTGACCACATGATCTGATACCTCCAGTCTGAGTTTTTGAGGTTAAGGTTTACACGGTATCTGCGAATGTTAAAGGTCACAT